TTCAATGAACCCTTTTGGCAAGTGCTCGAAGACATATTCTTCAACCAAATCAAGTTCTTCCTTTGACATATTCCAGAGTGGTGCATATCCCAGCTTTGCATCACCTTCGAGTTCAATATGATGGTCTGAGGGTCGATGGGGAGGTAGCTTGTCTGCTGCCATTTTTGAAAAAACATCCAAAAATTCATGAAATTCCTTCGGAAGGATCAGTCGAGAGTCAATTTCTTCAGTTTTGGTCTTGTTCTTGTGCTCGATTATGTCCTTCATTGATATAGCAAAGACTTGAGCTCCTCTTTGCTTCATGAGCATTCGAAATGGTGCTGCGCCAATCATTGCTATGGTGCAAGGTTTTGGTTTTTCCACTTTCGGAGCAGGTTCCGGAGGAGGCATTTCTTTGGCTTTCTTCTTTGGTTTTTGTCTTTCGCTTTTAGATATAGGCTCTGTTTCGAGGGCTCGATCTGGTATAGAATGGTTGCAATAATCTCCAGTGAAGAGGACTTGATCATTGATCATATCGAGAACAACTCCATGTTGCTTCATCCAAGCTTTCCCGAGAATGATGGAATGTTTTCCCAGCGAAGTGATGAATAATGGACATAGGCTTTCCACATGCTCTCCCACTTGTAGTCGAGGATATATAGCATGTGTGATAGCAGGGGCAGCCTCTCCATTGAATCCTTCAACTTGTTTTGGCTTCACAAGTTCGACTGGGGCTATCCCTTCGATTTCACATATTCTTTCTGCATCAGCAGCATTAATGAAGTTTCCACCTGTGGCACCAGTATCGATCAATGCATGGACAATAGCTTTGTATTTTCCTATTCTACAAGTAGCTAAGAAAGGGGTGTCCGGATCAAAACTGGATCTCGAGGAAGAAGCTGCAATTCTGGCTGCACTGCCTCTAGTGATGACTTGTCTAGAGGCTATTCGTTTTCCGAATCGATGATAGACACAGCTGTAGATACCTCATTCACTTGAGCTTTGAGCTTCTGGGGACAGTCTCGAGCTCGATGTCCATTTTGTCAGCATATGAAGCATTTCCCAAGTTTCATGAGCATTTCTTTTGCTGGATCTTGATGCGGTGGTCGATACAGCTTCTGCGTCTTGTTTTGCATGTTGGAATCCATTGTAGGTTGAGGGATTGAAGTTCGAAGTGCCTGGCCCTGATTTTGAGTTTGGCCCATGTTGTTCGAAAATGACTTTGGCTTCCTTTTGTCTTCTTGTTCCTTGATCCGCTGAATGTTCTGGTCGATGAGCATGCATTTCTTTGCAAACTCGTGAAGTGTAGTAGCTCCAACTTCAGCCACTAAGGCTTTCTGCATCTGTTGGTTGACTTTGAAGCGCAAGTCATCCAGCAAAGTTTCTTCAGAGTAATCAAGCTCTGTCGTGAGCCTTTGAAACTCAGCCCAAAACACTGCAAAGGTGTTGTTTCTCTGATACAGCTTTTGATACTCAGTTTGAGCTGTGTGCCTTCGATCGGGATCACTGAAGACTTTTTCCAAAAGTTCGAGAATTTCTTCTGCTGTCTGCAATTTGTTTGTAGACTTTGGTCGAAGCCTTGGATTGACATGTCGAACTGCCAGTCCTCCCAGTCGACTCTGAATGTAGCTCATTTGTAAAGTCTGTGTTGGAAAATGATCAATGTTGGCTTCGAGCTTGAGGCGAATTTTCACAACCCAGTCTTCAAATGCTGGCTCTATCCCATCTGTGAGGATTGGAGGGTCTGGAATCCGAGCTGACAGTCGACTGTGAGAGTGGTGTCCTGGTTCATTCTTCAGAGCTTGTTGGGTTTGCTTTTCAAGATATTTCTGAATTGTTTGTTGCTCTGTGATTTGTTGCTCGTTGCTCTGGATCAGTTCCTGTAACTGGAGAATGGCATCATCCTTTTCAGCCAGTATCGAATTTGAGTCCTCTGCTAGGGCCAAATAGTCCCGAAGAATGTTCTTGTGCAAAGTCCATGCCATTTTCTGGTTGGCGACAGATAGTTTCTGGAATTCGTCAAAGGTTTCAACATTCCATTCAGCCTTTTCATGTCGATTTGCAAGTATAGATTCATGTCTCTCTTGAGCTGTTTTGCCCAGAGTATGAAGGAAGGTTTCGGATTTGAAATTAGGATCATGAAGTTCATTGGTTTGGTTTGCAGAGCTTGGAATTGATGCTCCTTCTGCCAGGGATTCCTGGTCTTGTTCTGGATCATTTCGAGCTGCCATTGCAGCTTTTTCTTCAGCAGTATAAGCCATAGCGAGTTGCTATTTCAATTTCGGTTTATATCGTCAAGTCAGACACATATTGCCAAAGGCCCTATTGTGCAGTTGTTGGCTGTAGGAGCCACTCGAGAGGAGCGCACTTCCCTCACAGTTATATCCTTGTCGAGGGAGCGTTGTAAAAGGTCTGACTTGCGAAGGTGGTGTGTGTGTGTCGAGCTGACTGTCGAAAGCCAACTTTGAGGGGTTGCCTGGAGATCGTCCTGGAATCGACTTCAGGATAAGGTTTCTGGCTCTGGGGTTTTCAAAGAGTGGATTTCGATTTCGATTTCAGAAGAGGGTTCAGCTCAAAGAGCAGGAAAAGAGGTATAAGAGAGATTGAGTTTTCTGTCACGGTTCACCAAGGCATAGGGCGCCAGTTGGGTATTATGAATTAAACTCAATCTAGAGAAGAAAGGAAAGAGAAGAGGAGCACTCGAGCAGTGGCTCGATCTATATACAGCTATTGTGGAGTGAATTCTCTTTAGCGAGACCAGTTCTGAGAATTCACTCCACAACTGAAAACTTCGCTCCAACCCCGGAAAGCTCCCCACACCCCTGAACCCCCACTCGAGCTGCAAGGCGCACTTGATATCGTAACAACTTGTAGGTTGAGGAGGAGATTTCTAAGTTTGCTCTTGAGTTTGATAGCAAACTGAGTGCAACGAATGTCAGTATGACATCACCGTTCATTGGAATATGTCATGTCTACCAAGATTCTCACGGTGAAACAGGTTCGGTGGATGGAGCTACTCTCCGACTTCAATTTCTGCATCACGTACACCGCAGGCAAGAATAATCAGAAGGCTGATATTCTGAGCCGAAGGGACCAAGACCTGGTAACGCAACAGAAAGTCAAACTCGACAGTAGAGCGAGGGTATTGCTAGGTCCAAGTCGCTTACACCCCCGCATCAGCGCCGAACTAGCAGAGAGTGTTACGGCTACGGTAACGTGATGTCATGGTTACAGGACCAGGGCCTAGTAACGTGACGTGTGAGTCACAGGGGGCAAGCAGGGTAGGCTGCCATGTGACGGGGCTAATTGATAGTTGCAGAAACTAGTGGATATTGGATAGTTGAGCTATCCATGAACTATCCTGAATATCTAGCTATCCGCCAACTATCCAGATTACCCATGAGGCACGATGCCACTATATAAGTAGATAGTATTTCCGTAGATAGGAGCTTCGTGCTCAACTCAATATAGTATTCTTTACAATACTGTAATGTGTTACTTGGAAAGCCTTTGTGTCTAATCCCCTGCCTCCTTTGTCAAGTCAACCTTACACAAGAAACCTCTGTGCCTTCTATCGTTTAGAAGTCAGCATTACAGAGAGCTATGTGGCGTCCATTAACCTAATAGACACCCCCAAGGCACAGGTGCCCTTCAATTTAATAGAGGCACTATGTGCGGACAATCGGAAGTCGTTTACCGAGACTCGCGCGAAACAACCCCTACCGGACGGATTCGTGATGAACGACCAGCTCCTCCTGTACAAAGGCTGCCTATGTGTGAATCGCCACACTGACCTATGTACGAAACTGATACGAGAAGCGCACGACCAAGTGTCGTCAGCACATCCAAGTGGCAGGAAAACCTACCAATTGCTCACTCCAAAGTATCATTGGGTCGGGATGGAAGCGGACTGTTTACGGTATGTACGAAACTGCGTGACATGCCGGCTTTCTCACACCAATGTCACTAAGCAACAAGGATTCCTACACCCGCTACCCGTGCCCGAATACCCTATGCAACATCTAATGATGGACTTTAAGGAGTTCCCAAAGGACAAGCATGGATATGATAGCATCTTAGTGTTTATGGACCGACTCGGAAAGAGTTCGGTGACCATACCGTGCCATAAGACTACTGACGCCAGGCAGATGGCGCAACTGTTCATAGAATGGATATACAGATTCGGACACACTCCGGAGTCGATAATTAGTGACCGAGGACCCCAGTTTGTGTCGTCCTTCTGGCAGGAGTTCTGCCGAATCATCAGCGTAAAGGTTAAACTGTCGACAGCCTACCACAAGAAGACCGACAGACAGACAGAAATCATGAACCGATATATCGATCAGAGACTGAGGCCTTTCGTATCCTATTACCAGGACAACTGGAGCAAGCTCATCCCTATAATGGACCGCGTGCAAATGACTCTGCCCCACGCATCCATCGGAAGGACCCCCTACCGACTCAAATACGGAACAGATCCGCGTACAAGTTGGGACTGGAACACCCCAACGGGCATGAACCCTCGGGAGACTCTGAACTGAAATGAAGCCAAAGCGGTGGCCGACCGAATGCACACCGCATGAGCTCACGCAAAGGAGAACATGGCAAAGGCACAAGAAGAAATGTCTAAGCATGCGAATCGATGCCGAAGGGCCATTGACTGGGACGTAGGAGATAGAGTGTACCTATCAACCAAAAATTTGAAAAACTCTCGCCCTAGCCGCAAGTTGGGCCAACAATGGGTCGGACCATATATGGTGTTGGAACGGATTGGGCACGCGTTTCGATTGGAACTACCTACCGGTTCTCAAATACACGATGTATTCTCACCAGACGTCCTCATGAAGGATCTGAACAACCCCCTACCTGGTCAGGATCCGCCTGAGCCTAGCAGCGAAGTGATAGATGGCGTAGAGGAATGGGAAGTGGAAAAGATCCTCACTGTGAGGCTCCACTGGAAGCAACTACAATACCGGGTTAGTTGGGTCGGATACGATCCGGACCCGGAGTGGTACCCAGCGTCGAACTTCATGAACTCTCCCCATAAACTCGGGGAGTTTCACACGGAATACCCAGATTTACCAGGTCCACCTCGAGAACTACTCGGATGGGTTACGGCATGGGAGACGGGCGAGGAACAAAACTACGATCACGGGAGGGAAGACAAAGCAGAAGAAACAGAGTCGTTGCTATCTACGACTCTAAACTAAATACCCTCCGAGCCGGAGCGACCGCGGGAGCGACAGCAGTGGGCAGTTTGCCCACCAACTTCTCCAGGAGAGCCGGGACGCTCTCCTGTTCCGTCCGCAGACGGCGCAGCGACACAATTTGCTGCCCAGAGTCAGCACCGAAACAACACAAGACAAACAAGGGGAAGGGGTCGGCAAGCCCCGACTCGAGGACTAATCGTCGGGACCGCCTGTTCGCTTCGCTCACACTTGGAGGAAGCGAGAGTGCCCTCTCAAGACAAAATAAGTAGGTATCTTCACATAGAAAATTATATAGAAAGGTACTTTTAGTGTGCGTTGAAGCTTTCTTTGCAAAGTAGAGACCGATTTTACGTCCTCGAATGATCTGATAATAATGAGCAAAGAATCAAGAACAGCAGCAGAAGCAAAGAGGGTGGGCGACTATTAAATATGCGAATGCTCATTCTCATCCAGACTATTCTCAAGTAACTATCCTCGGCGTGACAACAAGCTAATTTAGCTACATTTAGTTCCTGTCACCGGCGAGGAAGGCACTAGCCTCTCACCACGAAACTCATAAGCTTTCCCAAGCACTAACAACAGCGCCATACCTCTTAGCATCAAGCTAACGATCGACCTTTCCAAAAACCATGGCTGCAATTTTAGTATTCGATAAATCTCATGAGACTTTATGAGAAACTAGCGCCTTCCTCGCCGTCCAAAACCGCGTGTTCTAATCACGAAGATAGTCGTCCAGTCCCCAAGCCACAGGCGCGCGTCCGCGCTTGCGGTATGACGTCGCTAAACACCGTTTTAGCTTCCCAGCGCGCCCAACCGCATCCCCAACCCACCCCAATCCATCACCACGCATCGCCCATCGCGAAGACAAGCCATACCCGCCTTCGTGATGAGGAATGCCATACCGCTCGCTTCCCCCCCTCATCCCTTCTTGTCGGCGCTTTCTTCACCATTCTGCGGTTTTGCACGCGACACATTATGAGACGCTCCGGATTCAGACGACGGCGAGTGCGAAGGAGATAAAAACGTACTGCCCCCCAATCTCTCTCGTTACTAACCCCCCCCCCCCGGGCCCAAACCTCCCAAACCCCCTCCTCCCCTCCACCCCCCCCAACTTTCCCCAACCTCTAACCCCACCCCCAACCCAACCTCACTCCAAGCTAACTCCCCCTCTCGCAGCGCATTCTACCACCTCTCCAAACTCTCCCACCCCGACCGCAATCCCACCGACCCCACAGCCTCAACCCGCTTTGTCCACATCTCCGAAGCCTACGCCACTCTCCGCTCCCCCGAAAAGCGGCAACGCTACGACCGCGACCTTGGTCTACACCATCATCATCCGCATCCCTCCCACGCCATCCACCCCGCTGCGGCGCCAGCACAATCGCACTACGGCCCCGCGGGCGGCCGCGCACCGAGCGGGCTGAGTAGGCGCCGCGCGACGTTCAGAGGGGCACCAGCGAGTTTTTATAGAAGCGGGGGGTGGGGCGAACATAGCGCTAAACGGCGGGCTGCGCAGGAAAACAGCTCGGGGACGACGGGGGGAGAGGCGAGACCGAAGACGGAGGGGGGGATGGGGTGGGGACAGAGTGCGTGGGTTGCTGCTGAGGAGGCGAGGCATTTTGATCGAGGGAGTCATTTGAGGACTTTTAGGAATCATGAGAGGAGGATGAAGGGGCGGGCTGCTGCTGCGGCAGGAAAGGGGGAGGAAGGGCGGGGGAGGGGCATGTTGAGGGATTTTTTGATTGTGTCTGGGTTGGTTTTTGTAGGGATTGCGGCGCCGTGGTGGGTGCCTGGGTTGTGGGGGAGGGGGGATAAGAGGAAGGAGGGGGTGTAGATAGGGAGGGATGGGGTGAGGATTCATGCATGGATTGTGATATTATTATGTGGTAGCATTGGACGAGTCATTCGGATACAGGTTCATGGGTATTAAGGATAGATTTCTCTACCTAATGTACACCGTACACCTCAACTCTATCTGCTAGATCGAATACAACCAGACCACACAGCCGTCCACGCTAGTATTTCAAAGTTATGTATCTCTCCTCGCAACATCACCATGTATTAATCTAAGCCTCGAAGGTGAAAGAAGCGCCGATCTGTGAAACGTTAGCCGGGGCCCTCATTCGAAACGAATCAATGCGCGAAGATGGATTTAACACTGACCTTGTTTGGCGAAGAGTCGAGCTTCTGGGTGTCGAAGGAAGCACCAAGACCCAGGGTGACGCCCTCGCGGAGGAGAACGTTGTAGGAGATAGCAGCGATACCGCGATCGTTGATCTTGGCCTTGGTAAAGGACAGCGGGTCGATGCGGTACTTGGAGGCGACCTCGAGGCCGACGTTGGAGCCGGACTTGGAGTCCCAGATGGCCTTGGCACCGGCCTCGACCTGGGAGTTGACCTTGTGGTAGTACGAGGCGGAGAAGACGCTCAGGTTGTTTGAGGCGATGATGGAGGCGGTGTAGAGGGGCTGCTGGTAGCCGAGGCCGAGGGAATACTTGGTGACGGCAGCCTTCTGGACGTCGTAGCCGGCCTCGGCGCCGACGAGGAAGCCGTCGTGGCCGATGACGGCGTCGAGGTTGGCGGTGGGGCCCTTGAGGAGGTCGAAGAAGGCGCGGGTGTGGAAGTTGGGCTGCTTGAAGTGCAGGTTGAGCTTGACGCCCTTGGCCTGGGTGGAGGGGAAGAAGTTGCCGAGAACCTCAGCCTTGAGGCCCTTGGCGATGTTGTCGTTGAGTTCGATCTTGGACTCGAGGGCGTTGGCGGTGTTCCAGGTCTGGGTGACGGTCAAGCCTGCAAGTCGGTAGATGATTAGTAACTGAGCGAAGCCAGATTGGAAGTAGATGAGGCAGTTGTGTGAGCTCTGTTTTTTTGAAACCCGTGCGGTTAAGGAGGGCCGCATGTAGATGTTCAAGGGAGGCTTGAAAGGAGAGCTTGTGGGGGTTGTACCAGATGGCTTGTCGGTGTACTTGGCCTCGAGCTGGTTGAGATAGTCAGTTGGGGTCCGTCCGTCGCAAAGCGCGCAGATTGGGGGGATGGAGGGAGGGGGGGGACATACAGCGCCGGTGGTGGTCTTCTCCTGGGTGCTCTTTCCATTGACCTTGAAGGCAACACCGTTGGCGGTGGTGCTCTTGACCTCAAGGGTGGCGGCTGAGGTGTGGTAGAAGTCCTTGTTCAACAGCTAGAAAATGCGGCATTAGCTGTCCGTCTCTCGGTCCACGATCACATCACGAGAATTTGTTGAGCTTCAAAGTCGCGTCAGGTCTTACATCGTTGGACAGCTTCGCAATGTCGGAGAATGCTGGGATAGACATCTTGGCTATAATGTGATGTTGAGGAAGGGTCTGAAAAGGTGACGGGTTGGAGATGAGGTATGTTTGAGGTTATTGAGATGGGGAAGAGAGGATGAGGTCTATTCAACAGGAAGGGGACAACTGAGCTTTCGAGTTTCGGCCCTTCACGCATTTGGAGTACCGTACACCATAGGAAATTAATGGCCAAATGCGTCACCAGGCGGAAAGAGTCGGGGATGCGAACGTGAGGTGTTGATTGGCCCAGAGACCAGAGTTCTTCCAAACGGCTAAGCGACTAGACCCCAACAAAGCAACAAAGCAAACATCGCGACTTTTTTGAAACCGCGGCGGCAGAACGGAGATATACTGGGAGTAGGGCTGTTCCGATCTGTTTGGATCTATTTACGTCGTTGGTCGTCCTCTTTGTCTTCTTACAACTTCGTACACCTCCTCTGACCCCATCATCAACCTGAAGATGGCTGACAAGGACGCTGGCACCCCGCGAGTCTTCCTCGTAAGGCACGGTAAAGCTCCATTACCTGTTGTTTATGCGTGAATTGCCCACGGGGAGACCCCTCTTCACAGCCTTACCTTCACTTTTTTACCTCAACCCATCCAGCTAACCCCAAACAAAGGCCAGACAGAATGGACCATCTCCGGTCAATGCACCGGTAGTACCGACATTCCTCTGACCGCCGTCGGTGAGAGCCAAGTGCTTTCGTCCAGCAAGGCTGTGGTGGGGCAGGGCAAGCTCATCGACCCCTCCAAGCTCACCAAAGTCTTCATCAGCCCACGCACCCGGGCCCAGCGCACCTACGATCTCCTATTCGACGATGCTGCCAAGGCGGTCTTGAAAGGGAAGGTTGAGATAACGGAGGATATCCGGGAGTGGGAGTACGGAGCCTACGAGGGCGTGACGCCGACGGACATCCGCAAGCAGCGCCAGGAGAAGGGGCTGGATAAGGAGAGGCCATGGAACATCTGGCATGATGGCTGCGAGGACGGAGAGTCCCCGACTGAGGTTGCCACGCGGCTGGACGAGCTGATTGCGAAGATCAAGCAGCTGCAGGCGCCGTGTATGGATGGCTGGAGGCCGGCGGACATTGTGGTGATCGCGCATGGACACAGCTTGAGGGCTTTTGCGAAGCGGTGGATTGGGTTCGAGATGGGGATGAAGCTGCCGTTAATGTTGGAGCCGGGGGCGGTGGGGGTGCTGAGCTATGAGCACCATAGGGTGGATGAGCCGGCTTTGCTGTTGGGGGTTAATATGGGAGCTTCGGAGTGAGGGGGTAGACGAGTCATGATGAAATGAGCAGCTTACTATACGCACACTCGGTGAGGGGGTAGGTAGTTGAACGAGCGGGAACACTCATCCGGGAGGCGATGAACGATTCTCCCCTTCTTCCTTCCCACGCACAGGCAAATCCAGGAGCTCTGCTCTCTTCCCGTTTCCCGTTTCCCGTTTCCCGCACCGTTCACCACATCATCATCCCTCCCACAAGTGAGGTAATGCAGCTACGCAAGATGTTGCACAATTGTGGCAAGCTCGTGAAGATATTTCCCCTTCCCCCCCCCTCACCAATGGGCGGGCACATGCCGTCCCGTCCTTGGCTACGATGGGGATTAGTGTAGAGACATGACCTATTGCTACACGGACGTGACAAGTTTCTGGATTTTGGCTTTCTTTCCAGATCTGTATCTGATCGGTGGAATGGTTGGTTAGAGAGTGACTTTGCTTACCCATAGAGCACTACCATACCTACTACTGCCACACCACAGCTGGTTCAATTGGGTGGATGACCGTTTGAGCGATTGAGGATTCTAGACTTTCAAGAATAACGGGACCACTGATTGGCGTCGTCCATACAGGGAAACGATAAACCCTGCAACAGACGGGAAGTACCATCCCAGTCCATGTATGTTTTGTTGTTGTTGAAAATTCAGACGGGAATATGGAGCCCATTTGAAACTAACGGTCGATCCCATTGGCTGGGTTTTAGCTGGACGGGCGGAGTTATTTTAACGAGCCTTAAACGAGCCCTTAACAAGCAAATAGCCAGGTACACATCAACAAAACCGACCAATCGTGCAACCTTGTGTTTTCGGCTTTTCGTGGTACAATGGTACTTCCATGTAGGGAGTGCAGATCCACAACTCCCACTTTTCTCCACCCTCTGCCACGCAAAGTGTCCCGGTTCTCCACCCCCGTCAACTACCGCCAGCCAGCACACCAGCACACCACAGCCACAGCACACAGCACAGCCACAGCACACTCGCAGCACAACCACAGCACACCCACAGCACACCCACAGCACACTCACAGCACACCCACAGCACACCCACAGCACACTCACAGCACACTCGCAGCACACCCACAGCACACCCACAGCACACCCACAGCACACCCACAGCACACCCACAGCACACCCACAGCACACCCACAGCACAACCACAGCACAACCACAGCACACCCACAAGCACACTCGCAGCACAACCACAGCACCCACAGCACACCCACAGCACATCCACAGCACCCACAGCACACCCACAGCACATCCACAGCACACCCACAGCACACTCACAGCACACAGCACACCCACACAGCACACCCACACACCACAACCACACCACACCCACACCACCCCCACACCACCCCCACACTACACCCACACCACCCCCACACTACACCCACACCACCCCCATACACCCACACCCACCCACACCCACGCCCCCCTGCTCCACCAATGCTGCCCATTCTTTCGCCCCCCAGCCAACACCACAACACCTTAAAGGACCTGAATATCCTCCAATTTCACTCCCTCCTTCCCTCCCTTCCTTCAACCCAACACGAAACTTTTCATCTTTTCCAACTCCCCAAAGGCTCGACGCCAGTGTATCTGTGATCACACATTCCTTCAGAACAAACCAAAAAGCAAATAAACAACTTCGAGATAAACGTTTCTCAACAACTATCCTTGAATCGCCAGTCGATCACCAAAATCGCACATACACATCAAAACACATCAAATCAAATCAACTCAAACCCCCAACACCGCAATCATGCAATACAGTTTCGTCGCCGCCGGAGCCCTGCTCCTCGCCACTGTCGCCGCGCAGCCCCACGGCCACTACAACCGCCACGCGCGCCGCGCCCCCGCCGTCGTCACCAACGTCGTCGACGTCTACGAGACCGTCATGCTCACCGCCACCGTCTGGGTCGACGAGCAGGGCAACACCATCTCTGCCCCCGTGACCGGCACTGATGCGTCCACTGTCACCGGCTCCCCCCGCACCACCGTCAAGCCGGGAGAATTCAACGAGCCGACCAAGACCCAGGCCCCGGCCCCGGTCGTGCCGACCCCGTCTCCATCTTCTGAGGCTGTTGCCGCTGCCCCGTCTGCACCTAAGACGACAACCATCCAAGTCGCGTCTGTGACTCCCCCGGCCCCCGTCGCCCCCGTCATCCCAACCAGCGTCGCCGCGCCCGTCGTAAACACCCCCGCCGCTGTCGCCGCGCCCGCCGCGCCCGCCGCTGTCAACAACCCCGTCGCCCCGCCCGCCGTCGTCTCCACCGGCGGCTCCTCAAACGGGGAGTGCAGCTCCGGCTCTCCCTGCTCGGGCGACATCACCTTCTACGAAGCTGGGCTCGGCGCATGCGGCGAGACGACCAACGGGTCAACTGACAAGGTCGTCGCGCTCCCCCACGAGTTCATGGGGACGCAGAGCAATGGGAACCCGTTCTGCGGGAAGACGGTTACTATTAACCATAAGGGGGCTACTGTCCAGGCTAAGGTTGTGGATAAGTGTATGGGCTGCGTTGGACGCGATTTGGATCTTTCGAATGCTGCTTTCGATGGCCTTGGAATCGCACAGAGCGTTGGTCGCACGACCGCCGATTGGTACTTCAACTAAGTGCCCGTCAAGCGAGGGCGTGGATGGGGTGGATGAGCCGAGCTCTCTGCCGAAGGGCGCGTGGGGACTGCGTGTCGCGAGTTCGATGATGCGGGATCCTACGGCGTTTGGGGGACCGGGGTTATAGATTGCTACAGGATTAGAACAGGCGTACATTTCTGGAAAACACAAGTACTTCGCCAGTATCCTATTCTATCCTTCCTTCAGTTGACTGGAGGTGGTTGGGTAAGGGGGCTTGGTGAAGGAAGGGGGGCGGGAGTTTTAGCTCCGCCACCTTTTTACGAATATCATGATAAAAAAAAAGAGACAACTTATCTATCTTCTTCGCCTCTCACACTGCGAACGGAGGACGGCGCTCGGGTTTTTTACCGGAGATGGGGGACAAGGTTTCGCAAATTGTTCTTCTTGACAAGACAAGGCTTCGGTGTGGGCTTGGGAGTTGGTTTTCGGAGGGGTGGGAAAGGCGAAATGGGGGGTTGTGTGTTGCATACTTTCGTTTCGTGTTGTATATATTTTACATACTGTGTGCAGATTTCTCACTTTGTGAGGATGCAATATCACTTTCTTTATGTTTTGATGTCTTGGCTTGTTTGTGTCTGTCTGTGGTGCGAGAGTGAGCTGTGGGCTTATGATTGTGAGAGTAAGGGGGTCTTGTAACCCAGCCAGCTGGCCAGTCTACCCCCCGTATGTCCCCTCGCCCTGCAACTTCCCGTCTCGTGGTAGTCACCTGGCAATCTCAATAGCACAGAACAGCACAACATAGAAGCAAGGCCTATCTTCCCTATCCGCTATAACCTCTATTCCGTGCGTCTCCTCACCGATCCATAGAGGCTTTGGTGTCGTCCAGGGCAGGGGTGGGCGAGAAGGGGTCGTCGGAGGGGCACTGGTAGCGACGGGGCGGGACGGCCGCCTTCGGTGCCGGATTTGCGCAGCTTAAGTAGTCTGACTTGAAATATGCGCAAATTATAAGCGAGGATATAATAAGGCACGTTTAAGTCAGGAGCGTGTGGGATTAGTTAAGAGTAGTTAGTGCATAGTAGCGAGAGAAGGTAGGAATGGGCATTTACCAGCGACAGGGCGGCACGGCCGCCCTCGGCGCCGGTTTTGGGCAAATGAACAAGCTAATTGAAAAGTGCGCGAAACAGAAGCGAGGGTCTATAATTGCACAGTAATAGGCGTGCAATAGCGACAACTTAACTTAGCTTGCAAGCGGCGGCAGAAAGCGGTGGGCTGTGAAGGGTTGCAGGTGTGAAGGGTTGCAGGTGTGAAGGGTTGCAGGTTTGCGACGTCGTTTGAGATAAAAGGGTGTTTGCTGGGCCATTAATATAAACAAGGGTGATCACAGCTCATTGAAAGAGAATAGTTCAAGTACATGTGGATATTATGAGTATTATATATATATATGTCAACGCCTAAATATGCTTTATCTCAACTCCATCCCCCTTCCAATAGTACGCCCATCGCTATGCCATCATCCAAAATCATCACTCCCCTCTCCCCTCAGGCACGCACCCCCTTCAAAATCAACTCTGCCACCTTCTCCCCCACCGCCATAACCCCAAACATCGGATTCACACTCAACGGCTCCAACAAACTCGCATCAGCAACCCACACATTCCCCATCCCCACGACCCTCCCCCCCCCATCCACACACTCCTCAATCTTACAGCTCCCACTCCAATGATTCACCTGCCCCCTCGCATACGCCGACGGCGTGGTGATATACTGCTCTATCCTCGCCACGCTCGCATCGCGCTCCAGATTCAACGTCTCCACATCCGCGGGCAGCGCTGCGAAGATGCGGGCGATGAAGCTAGCGATGGCGCGAGCGTCGGGGGCGGAGGAGTAATACATGTTCCCGTCCGGACCAGGGATGAACTTCCCATCAAGCACGACGGAGCCGCGCGACGCAAGACCAGAGGTGCCGTAGATGTTAAGCGTGATGGTAGTAGCGGAGGTGTAGTCCGCGTATCCCCCCGTGCCGATGGTTACCTGGAACCCAACGATGCGGCCATCGGGCTGGGAAGCGCGGGAGAAGAAAACAGAGGTATGGCCGGCGGAGGCGTAGGGCCCAGAGCGGTGAGCGAGGTAGAGCGCCGAATCAGCGGGGGCGGGGTTGCTGTAAGAGGGTCCGAAGGCGGTGATGCTCGGGCTGGAGAGCTCAATGAAGGTATTTGGGTTATCGAAGAGGTTCGCGCCGACGGCAGCGTTGGGGATCCACTCTGCGTGCGTGAGGTTGCCGAGTTTGCCGGCGGCGGAGAGGCGGGTGAGGGAGGTGGTGGGGCCGATGCCGGAGAACATTAGGAGGGCGGGGGTGGCGATGGCGCCGGCGCTGATGATGACGCGGCCGGTGTTGGAGAGGGGGATGAGGGTCTCGATGCCGTTGAGTAGGACCCAGACGCCTGTTGCTGCTTTGTCGGTGCGTTGCACCCTCACGGCGCCGGTGCCGCTTTGGAGGTGGAAGTTGGGCAGCTTGAGGGCGTCCTGGAGGTATGTCGGGACGGGGCCGGCTCGCTGGCCGTTCTTGTATCCGTATACTGGGCGTCCGAAGACGTCATGTTTGTTGTCTTTGCTCTCGTTGATCTTCACGTCGGCGAAGCCGAGGCTGTCGACTATCCAGCGCCTTGCGATGTTGTAGCCGGATTGCAGATACTGCTTCCCATCGGCAGATGGCGTGTCTGTAGATGGAGCGCGCGCTTTTACCCGATTAATCGCTCCGCTCATGTCGGCTGCCTTCCACCCGGCAGGGAAGAACGAGTCCCAGTCGCTGGAAGGCGGCTCAAAGTACAGGCCCGCATTGATGGCGGAACCGCCGCCGATAGTGCACCCGCCATAGGCGTTTATGGTGCCGCTGCAGGTGAGGCCACCGCCGTCTCCGAAGATGGAGCTGTATAGGCCGGGGACATCGACGCGGGTTAGGTTTGTGTTGTTAAGCCAAGAGGGGCGGCGGGAGGAGAGGTCTCCATCCGTGACGCCGTATGAGGGCCCGCCGCCCTCGAGCAGGAGGGTATTGAGCTTGGCTTCAGCAAGGCGTGTGGCAACTACGTTTGTTAGTGAGAGAACGGAGTAAGGAGGTGGGATAACAACCTATGATACCAGCTGGGCCTGCGCCGACAACTATGGCATCCCAATGGGTCGTCGTCCAATCCGCGGCGGCCAATGGGAGGACGGAGGCGAGCTGAGCTACGAGGAAAAGAGCTATATGCTTCATGGCTTTGGCTTTGGATGAGATGAGGAGAAGGAACTGCCTGAAGACCAAAACAAACAATTGACGAGTTCAATCACGGAGGCCATATTGTTACTATTATACCACTGCCAATGCCGAGGATGGCTACCAATTCGGCACGAGGCAATTCAGCTCAGCTCAACTTTGGTCCTAGCGTAGGCTAAAGCCCGTGGCGGTTAAGGCTTAGATTCGTGTTGGCGGGTCGCCATGGGTGCTAAGGGCGCGGAAAGTCGTACATACAAGAGAGGTGCAAATCATCCCAAATCAACCCAGGTCAATCCACTTCTGGCGTCGTTGCCGATCGTGGTACTAGGGTCGCCTGCCACCTGAACCACGCCTCATCCAGGCCTGGTTATTGATTATGCGGCTCAGTACCAATAAACGCCGATTTTTGTGAGGCAATAATTTATTTTTTGGTTGTCATCGCAACTCCGTATCGAGATCATATATTTTCAAAACGACGAATCGGGGCCGTGGTGGCGACGTTGCGACGCAAGGAGCTCCAGTCGGACCTGGATGAAGCAAGGGGTCGACGTTGGAGGGAATATAGAGGCTGAGAAACACAAAGCGAAGTCATGAGGCAAAGCTTGACAGGTTAAGGGGGCCATGTAAGGGGGGGTCGGTGACAATTCTACACAAGCCAACGTTGCAGTAAGCAGACTAGGTGTGTATCTTCCACATATGACCATAGACTCAAGAGAATTAGGTATCCCGTTCGCTGTACGCCATTGAAATATGTAGACCCCTACTTTTCCTTGGACGCGGAGTTTGGCCATCTCTTGAAGCTGTCATGAGTTAATAACTGGGCTATAATAAAGAGTTGGGGGTTGTATAAACTCACATTCTCCAGTGTCGACCTTTCTTGGATTCCGAGGGAGATAGCCCATCGGGATCAACTAATGTCGGAGATGCAGAACGGCTGGATTGATCATCATCATCATCATCATCGTCATTGCTAGAATTTTTAGGCGGCTCCGGCATCGGCCACATAGCCATAGTAATGGACATATCCGGCTCGATGACACTTTCCCACACCTGTGGGAGAAATATCTCGACGTTTGGGCCGATTAGATCGTAATGTCCCTCCTGGACGGGCGGCCCGAGGACATCTACATGAAGGAAGGCTTGGTTATTGATGTCCTCCATACCCTACGGGCGAAATGTTAGCTCAATGAGGTTTTCGAGCTGTAAAATTAGGTAACTTACCGCCCATTTGCAGATGATATGGAAAGGGAACGTAAATTTGTGTCCTACGGCGTCTTTGAACTTTATTGACATTTGTGTCTCGCGTTTGGTTCTCATCATCATCTTATCAAGGTCTATCAGCTGATCTGAATTTTGAGTTTCCTCCTCCTGCTGTGCCCTTAACTCCTTCTCAAACCGAGAAAATATGCCATTTTCCAAAGAGTTCTTACTTTCTTTGTCACTATGCTGTCTAACTGCGCTTTGTATATCGTTGGCCTCTATTGAGCTGGCTGGCTCTTTTATGCGACGCTAATTCATGAACTCTTCTAGTTTGGCAAATCTTGCTTCTATGCTATCATCTGTTTCGCCCATATCTAATGTATCCGTTAAAGGGTGAGATATTTTCACGACATCTAGGTGTCCAGGTAGTTGACTTTCTAACTGCGAACCAGATGGTGGTAAGGCGATGATATCAAAGCTAAACTCGGAGACGTGACTAGATATTGCGAAACTGCACTTGGCATTTGCTCGCGACTTTTTTAGTGTCAGCGTTAATTACAGTGAAAACTGTAGGTCAATCTTACAATTGAGCTGTAGCAAGTAAAACCGAGATACTGCTTAGCTTGATGTGCAATGCATCTTTGAGGGGCCTTTAGCTCCTCTTTTCGAAATAGTACCCATCCCATCTTCTGCCAGCTGTCAGACAGCGTATTTCCTTGACAAAAGCGTACCGAGAACGGTTATGTGGGAGGACATAACCGTTCTCGGTACGCTTTTGTTTTCGCAAGGAAATCATCCATTATACTCATTGAAGAGAGCACAATACATGATGCTGCATTTACCGTTGCGTGGCTCAAGGTTGGATTACTTGTCATCCGTCCTACCGAGGGAATGCTTGGTGCATGGCACCAATTTCCATGACAGCTTGTTGGTACTCCTCCGTGGGCCCCCGGCTGCTTGGAGGAAGCCGTAGCTTAGGTTTGCTCCAGCAATGAAATCGCCGACGGAGTAGCCAAACGACATCTTTCATATAGTAGGGCGATGGATGCGCAATATTAAATGCGATGAGTAGGCTGGTCAGCATGTTTAAGAATTTAGAAAGGATCGAGATACCAGTTGCGAGAGATCCAAGGCTGTTCGGCAGGTGCATAAGCACAGCCTCACTATATGATGTGGCTGTTCGGCAGGTGCATAAGCACAGCCTCACTATATGATGTGGCTGTTCTCATAGATGTTCTCAACGTGCATGCATGTACAGGATGCACACGGTTTTTTTTTCGATAGCATAGAGGAATTATCAACTTTGCCTGTGAGTATTATCATTACGTAGCATATGTAAGCTAAACTATAAAACACGAAAATTATGAGGCGAGCCCGTCTTGTAGACAATAGAATAGCTCCTCGGCGAATCATCGACTGACAAAAGTATGTGCCTTGCTTTGACTGACGTTATCGATATTCTTCGCGTGGTCGTTCTTATTGTCATGAGTATGGCTCCAGTAGGTAATGGAAATGCTCCCCTTTTTGTCCACCTCTAGCCTCTCCTTGCAGGCCTTTGCGTCGAAGGTCTCCGCTTGAACCGAGCAAATAGAACGCGGTTCCTTTTCCCTCCAATTGTAGGGATATACCCAGTGACTGGGAAGCAGGACAATCTCCTGTTTGGTTTTCTCCGCCTGCGACGCGAAGGGGCCAGCGGCTGCCATGGCAGCGGCCTCATTGCTTAGCCCGTTTTTGTTGAAATCGAGGATAGCTCTGTACAGAGCAGCTGGCCCTGTCCATTCCTCAGCCAGAGGAGGATCGCCTGGATCGCGAAGAGGAAGAAACCCTTTCGAAGTTACTTCGTCTGCGGAAGCAGAAACACCTCATCCGAACCCGTGGTAAAGATATGCTCCGGCGAGGTTTGAAAACCCTCGACGAGCTTGATGCGGCAGAGGAGGCCGAACGTGTGGCTGCTGAGAAGCGTGACGCTGTTGAGGCCGAGGAACAGGCAGTTAGCGCTGCCTCCTCGTCTGTAACCGGGACCCCCGCTTCCTCCGATCCACTGGCCTACTCCCCTGCATCTTGGGATCAATGGCTGGCGGATGGCGGCGTCGATATTCCTCCAGCAGTTCTTTGCTGATGTTCCTTGTTGGTTCCCACGAATTATCCGTAGGTTCGTAATTTTCCCATTTTATCAAAAACTCTTCTTGACGTCCTACTAACCTTCTGTCTAGGATTGCTTCGACCTCATATTCGATTATCTCATTCTCGGGTTGGAGTTCGGTGTTGGTCGCAATTGGGGTATTTCCTCTTGCTGGTTCCAGTAGTGAGACATGAAATACCGGGTGTAGTCTAGACTTCTTGGGTAGCTGCAGTCTGTAATTAACTGAGCTGACTTTGTTCAATATTTTGAATGGTCCCAATTTCTTGAAGTCCAACTTTGTGCTTGGTCGTTTCGTTTTGATATGTTTCCGGAGTAGGTATACTTTATCCCCCTCCTTGAAGGCAGGTTCCATACTGTGCTTCTTGTTTGCGTATGCGGCGGATCGTTCATTTAAGAATTGGATGTCCGTCGCAAGTTGTTCGTGGAACGATCTCAGTTGTTCCACCACGATCAGGGCTTGTTCAGCTCGTGATTCATCCGGTCTTGGTTGCCTATATGCTTCTGGCTGGTAGCCGTAATTGGCAAAGAACGGTGAGACTTTCGTTGCTTCTGTCATCGCGCTGTTATATGCAAACTGTGCGATGGGTAAGATCTGAACCCAGTTATCCTGTTGATGATTGACATAGCTTCGCAGGTACTGTTCAAGGGTCTGATTTAATCTTTCTGTTTGGCCGTCTGTCTGGGGATGAAAAGCTGTTGACAGCTTATGATTTGTTCCCAGTAGCGCCATCAATGATTTCCAGAATTTCGAAGTAAAGAGCTTGTCTCTATCTGAGATGATTTCTTCTGGCATCCCATGATCGGCTAATATGACTCGAATGAAGGTATATGCGAGCGCCTCGGCATCGCTAGCTTCTAGATATGGTATAAACTTCCCATATTTTGTGAGTCTTTCCGTGATGACGAGGATAGAGTCGTATTCTATTCCTGTTAACGGGTCCTTGGAGGGTGGAAGCTTGACGATGAAGTCCAAAGCTATTGATTTCCACACTCCTTTTGGTACTGGTGTCGACTTGAGTTGTCCGTATGGCAGATGCCTATTGGATTTTGACTTGCTGCAAATGTCACACTCTCTTACCACTGTCTCTACCTGCTTCCTCATACCTGGAAAGTAGTAGTGTCGGGTGATTCGTTCGAAGGTTCGTGTTACTCCCTGATGACCGTGTGCTGGTAACGAGTGTTGTTCTTGCACCAGCGGGCGTCTCATTTGACTTGGGACATACACTAACCCTTTGTATTGAATCAATCCTTGTTCGTCGATGGCGAAGTCGCCTTCGACTTTGGACAAGACTCGCTTGGCGCATTCGTCTGTTGCGTAAGCTTTCTTGAGTCTTTCCTCGAGTTCTGTATCTTCGATGACTGAGATCGTCACTAATAACTCGTTGTACTGTATTCCTGCATCTGTTTTCTTCAGAATTGCTCTAGGTCTTTCTTCCTTTGGGCCGGCGTAGTCGGTCTGTCTGCTGAGAGCGTCTGCTCTTGCATTCTCGGAGCCCTTGCGATAGGTTATCGTGAAGTTGTAGGCTGCGAGGGTTTCTGCCCAGCGGACTTGTCTGCGGTTTAAAACCTTGGTCGTGGTGAAGTATATGAGGTTCTTGTGATCCGTCCATACCTGCACCGGGTAGGTGGGTGTAACGCTGACTTCTAAACGATAGAAGACACAGAGGTTCTCTTGCGTAAAGGTTTACTTATCAGAGGAGGCAGGGGATCAGACACAAAGGCTTCAAGTAACACGTTACTAGTATATAACAAATACTGTATTGAGTTGAGCACGAAGCTCCTATCTAAGGAAATACTATCTACTTATATAGTGGCGTCGTGCCTAGTGGACTCTTGGGAACTCACTCGAGTCCTCGGAGTCCTGGACTCTTAGGACTCTTCTCATCATCCTGCGAGTCCATCACGTGCCTAGTGGACTCCTGGGAACTCACTCGAGTCCTCGGAGTCCTGGACTCTTAGGACTCTTCTCATCATCCTGCGAGTCCGTCACGTGATACTTTCGGAACTACTATTTCCCGCTGCCCCTCCAGGTACCAGGGCCGGTCTCATGCGACCTCCCTCCTTCCTGTCCTGTAGTTGGCCAGCCTTCTTGTTCCGTCATAACAGTGGGTCCCTCAAGATATACTCGCCACTGCTCAAAGGCAACGACAATAGCCAGTAGCTCCTTGTCGTGGATGTCGTAATTGAGTTCCGCGGGTGACAGTTTCCTAGAGTAGTACGCGATTGGTTTGAACTTACCGTTCTCGTCTGGTTGATTCAGACATGCTCCAATTGCGAAGTCAGAAGAGTCCGTTTCGAGGATGATCTTCTTTGCAGGGTCAAATGTAGCAAGGATAGGTGCTTCCGTGAACTTTGTCTTAAGTTCCTGGAAAGCAGCCTCTGCCTTGTCCGTCCATTTGAATTCGAGATCCTTTCTGGTAAGCTCCGTGAGTGGTTGAGCTACCTTGGAATATCCCGAGATGAATCTTCGGTAGAAGTTGGCAAAGCCTAGGAAGGCTTGCACTTCCTTGACCGTGGTCGGTGTTGGCCATTCCAACACTGCCGTTACTTTTGCTTGGTCCATCTTGATGCCGTGCGTTCCAATAATGTAACCCAAGAATTCGACTTGGTTTTTATGGAACTCGCACTTCTCTGGTTTGAGGAGTAAGCTGTACTCCTTTAGTTTCTTCAGGACGAGTTTGACATGCTTGACATGCTCCTCCTTGGTTGCTGAATACACCAGGACATCGTCTAGGTAGACAATGGTAAAGATGTCTAAGTATTCGTGCAAAGCATCATTCATCAGTCATTGCATGGATGCGGGTGCATTTGTTAGCCCAAAGGGCATGACTTGATACTCGAATAGGCCATAGCGGGTGCGGAATGCTGTTTTCCACTCTTCCCCAGCCTTGATTCGGATCAGGTTGTATGCTCCTCGCAGATCTAGCTTACTGAAGATCTTTGCTCCTTGAAATCTATCGTGTAGTTCGTTGATTAACGGCAGGGCATACCTGTCCTTGATTGTGATGTTGTTCAATGCTCGATAGTCCACACATAACCGTAGGGAGCCGTCTTTCTTTGGTACGAAAAGCACCGGACTTCCTGCTGGTGATGTGGATGGTCTGATGAATCTTTTCGCTAGGTTATCATCGATGTACTCCTTAAGTACCTTCAGCTCCTTTTCCGATAGCTGATATATTGGTCCGAACGGTGGACTCTTGTCTTTCTCCAAAGGTATCTCGTGATCCCATGGTTGGTACTTAGGAAGCGCCTCGTTCTTAGGGCCTTCCTGGAATAATTGCTCGTATTCCTTGTACTCCACCGGTATACTCGTCGGTGAGGATGCCTGGGCTAGGTCATCGAGCTCGGAGGTTGCACATAACTCCTTCCGGCCCTGGGAGGGTTTTTCCCGTTGTCGCGTGTCCGTCCGTTGTTCACACGCGCACTGGCTCATCACAACTTTCTCATTCCACCAGTCGATCTGGGGGTTGTGTTTCTTGAGCCATTGTAATGGTGGGTGCACCAGATATGAGAATCTAGCCACCCAAGGAAGGGATGAATTTACTAAGACAACACACTGTCTTAGGAAACAGAGCCAAAGGGTTGTAGCTTAGACTATTCCACAACGCAGCAATCAGGTGTATGATGTGGTGAAGTGGTTTAGACAAGTTGCAACAAATGTTGAGTCTGAGAACTCAGGGGTAAGTCAGAGGTTAGCACCTCACTGACTTTTCAAAAACAGAGAATAACAAGATCAATGCTTGGAAGCTTAGAAAAGACGTAGAAGTATGTGCTAGTCGATTTACTGTATTGCCTGCTTGCCCTTTCTTAAGGAAAGGGCAATCCTATTTATGCCAAAGGAGTGTAGTTCTCTCATTTTCCATGACTTTCCATGACTAACCAGGCTTGGTAAATGTATTAGAAATCAAGTGCGACCCACAACTAGCTTGCTAATCATGTAGTGAACGTAAGAGAATCCCATAGAACCATCTCTTGGGTTCCTAGCCTATAGGAAGTGAAAAGGAGGTCCAAGGTCAGAGTACCTATAGACAAATTATGTCATAACTTAACCAATCTTGTGGGTAACTAAGGAGCAATGACGTGTAATGAATCATAGAGGGTTGTAGAAGCTTCTAGAGCTATCGTTCATGTTCCTAGGCCTCTAGTTGGTAGAGATATGCCATGTGGTAGTATTGACCCACCCCCTTAAGGAGGAGATTTTCTTAATAACTTGTTCAATGAGTGTCCAAATGATATGCCGTGATGTATGTAGCATAAACAGATGTAGTAGAAGAGTTTGCAGCAATCGTTGAGTAGTATTGCTTCTGTTGTTGGTGTGATAAGCCAAGATATGTATGGTGACTTGTAGGTTTGAGGAGGAGATTTCTAAGTTTGCTCTTGAGTTTGATAGCAAACTGAGTGCAACGAATGTCAGTATGACAGCCATGGCACACCAAGGATGCACGCATGGTTGTCCATGTGCACGATGTCAAACTGAATCGTTTCCTTGTGCCCGTGTAGCATGACCATTTCCAATGGGACCGTTTCGTGGGTCACCATTCCTTCATTAGTCGAGATGGGCTCTCCATCTACGACCATTAACGGGTATGGTTCAGTTTTCAATTGCGTCTTGAAACCTTGCGTGTCTGCTACTTTCTTTGTCATAAAGTTGCCCGTCGCTCCTGAGTCAATCATTGCTCGGAGGTGTCGCTGTTGTATCTTAGCGACCACATATAGTTGCATGCTGCCCGTCGTGGCGCATAGCTGGTCTGTACTAGGCCTCTTCGTGTCGCTCGCCGGTGGCCTACCGTCGAGGACTCCTAGTTTTTTGACTCGTCCGAGGAAGGATAGTATTCATCCGCTTCCAATGGTGGTCCTTGGTGAGATCGTTTCCCTCGCTCTTCTGCTTCGTCTAGCAGATGTGGGTATTTCTTGTATACCTGTTCGCTTTTGATAGGCAAGTCTCCTTCAGACTGGCTTCGCCTGAGGGCGTGAACTTGCTCTGCGTCTCTGAAGTGTATCCTGGGCGAGGATCGGGGAAACAACTGATTCTGGTGTTTCTTTTTCCAGTGGAGCTTGCAGTCATCTTCGCTGCAATACTCCCAGTAGACATACGCGTGCCAGGGATGATCAGTCTCTGTTGCGTCTGTCGTTGATAGTTCCCGCTGTCCTCTCACCCATGCACTATCTTCCCTTGGAGGCGTGGAGAACGTGTCTAGTTGCTCCATGGCTCTCCTTTCGATGCGTGGAGTGGGTCTCGCATTTTCCTGTCGCAGCATACCTCTGGCTTTCTCGTCGTACTTCTCCAGGGCTCTCCTGCGGTCCTGGTAGTAAAGTTCGACGCTTTTCATATTCTTCAGTTTAGCCATATGCTCGACATCCTTCTCCAGTTCTTCCGCTTCTTGGGCTTCCAACTTAGCTACGTCTGGGGACGTGCCAAGCAGCCTGCGGGTATTCGTTAGTTGGTCGTAGTATCTCCAGAGGTCATCCTTGCCGTCGTCCACCTTGCACTCTAACGGAAGTCCCTGTAACAGGTTCCCGTAGATGCCCTTAAGCGTGGGGATTCTCCTCTGGCCGCTGGGCTTGTATCGTTCGGCCCTAATCTTCGCGTGGGCGTGTTTTGCCATGCGTCTTACTACGCTCTTGCACCGTGGACTCATTGGTTCCGTAGGTGCGAGTTCGTCGAAGGTTTCCTGTTCCGAGACGGTCAACGATTCCGCCTCTGATTCTTCATCTGAGCTCCCGTCTTCTGGGGTGCTTTCGCCGTTTATTCCCCAGTCCTGTTTGTTCACAAACGTTGCGTTCAACTGTCCTGTCCCCGAGGTGTTGTAACCTCCCCGGCCTTGCCAGGTAGCATTGAGTTGTTTGCCGACTTTGCGTCCGCCGTTCCCTTTCTTTGGCTGTCTGCAGTCTCGGGCCATGTGGCCTGGCTTGTCGCAGTTAAAACAGAGTCGTTCCTTGAATTGTCTGTCTTTCTTAGGGTCACGGGGTCGTCCAGGTTTGAACGTGGCATCGAGTTCCATTGGGTCCGACCAACGGTTGTCTCGCGGGTGTTGATCCCGTCGTCTGCCCTCGTTTCCCCGGTAGGGGTAACTTTTCTTGGGCTTGTCATAAATCCGACATTCCTTCTGGAATTCGTATAGTCGATTGTTGATTCGGACCGTATGTTCGATTAGCGCTACCATGTCCGTTGGTTGTTGTTCCAAACAGGCAAGTTCCATACGTATATGGCTCTTCAGCCCACGTCGGTAGTGGCTGATGAGTGCGCTGGCATCCCATCCTGTCTGATTGCCGTATCTCTGGAATTCTGTGGAGTACGTGAGGGCGCTGCCAGTCTGCTTAAGTGCAAACAGATGGTCTTCCGCAGTCTTAATCTCATCAATGTCTCCGAACATGTGTCAGATTTCCTTGCAGAATCCTTTCCAGCTGCCAAACATAGTCTGCGTAGTTGCCATGCTTCCATTGGTACTTTCATATTTGAAATAATCCTTGAGGAATGGTTCGACCCATCGCAGGGCTTCCCCCCTAAGGTAGGACGCAGTCCACAGGGCATAGCTCTCCTGGGTGGGAAACTTCTCGTCATTAAAGTGCTGGTACAGTTCGACCTGTAGCAAAAACACCTCAAGTTCCTTTCGGTTGCCGGAGTAAGTGTCGGGCAACTTGACGCGTAGAGTTTCCTTGAGTTCGTTGACGGTGGGTGCGTCGGGCATCTCTTCATTCTCAGGCTTAGACCTCTGAGACGAAGTTGGCGTGGTGGGGGTTTTCCCCTTCGAACTGACGGCAGACATGTTGCTTTGTGTATGAGCCAGTGCCTCGTAGAAGTGGTGCTCAAAGTGTAACGCTGACTTCTAAACGATAGAAGACACAGAGGTTCTCTTGCGTAAAGGTTTACTTATCAGAGGAGGCAGGGGATCAGACACAAAGGCTTCAAGTAACACGTTACTAGTATATAACAAATACTGTATTGAGTTGAGCACGAAGCTCCTATCTAAGAACTAACTATCTACTTATATAGTGGCGTCGTGCCTAGTGGACTCCTGGAAACTCACTCGAGTCCTCGGAGTCCTGGACTCTTAGGATTCTTCTCATCATCCTGTGAGTCCGTCACGTGCCTAGTGGACTCCTGGGAACTCACTCGAGTCCTCGGAGTCCTGGACTCTTAGGACTCTTCTCATCATCCTGCGAGTCCGTCACGTGATACTTTCAGAACTACTATTCCCCGCTGCCCCTCCAGGTACCAGGGCCGGTCTCATGCAACCTCCCTCCTTCCTGTCCTGTAGTTGGCCAGCCTTCTTGTTCCGTCGTAACAGTGTATTATAATAAGCGATATTGTTTATATTGTTTATATTGGCAATATAATGTGGGGCATATCATATTGCCAAGGAATGAAGGAAGGCCATATCATATTGCCAAGCATATTGTTTATATTGCCAAGACTCGTATTGCGATATATATCGCAATATACTGCCAAGAACCAATATACTACTGGCAACACTGACTGGTTCAGGGGGAGGGGGAGTGAGGTGGTGGTTGTAGTCGAGGAGGTGGTCATGGTCAAGGTCGAGGAGGATAGAGTAGGCGGAAGACATAGTCACAAATGGGTCGATATATAACAAAGATTGACTCACACCCAGCTTGTATAGTATTTATGCTCTTGCCTAGCGCCACCGATCCGCTAGCAGCCCTAGGTCTGGCACCTGATCCAATACTTATCAACTCACTTCAGTATCAATCACATCTGCACCTTCCAGTAAAAAAATACACTCCATAGCTCACTGGTATCAACATTTGCACTTTCGGAGAACCACCCTCCATAACAACCTGTCTACACGATGGATACCATGGAAAGTTTGGCTCCGAGTTCTCTATCATCACATTATAGACCTCCTCATGGAAAGCTTGCTAGACAGTCAACACCGGTTGAAGCACTACAGAGTAGTTTAACCTTCGTGGACTCAGACAAAGACCCAGCCCTCAATCAACTTCAGCTTCAGCGCGACGATCGACATCAGCGCGACATGGACTTAGACAAAGACCTAGCCCTCAGTCAACTTCAACTTCAGTCCCGGGATCAACGTCAGCGTCAGCGTGACATCGACATCTCTCATGCACATCCAGAAGCTTCTTATGCACATATAGATCCTCAGCCAAGATGGAGTGGCCCTAGGGGTTTTGGTGCTCGGCACATACACGACGACGTTCCGTTTTCTCTCTGGAGCGAAGAGAACCAAAATTACAGACATGCCAGTAGTCATGAATTGGCATACATCCTGGACAGGTATCACGCAGCAAAGGTTGAATGGTACGAGCATATACTAGTACTTCAGACTTTAAACCCGCCTAACCCAGTACCACTCACCGTCGCCTGCACTCCCGTCATCTTCGTTCCTATTGGCCAAGAAGGATTGGATATCGCAGGGAGAGCCCCATACTTCAACTATCGTCTCGCAGACCCATGCCCCAATCTTCGTTTGCCAAGAAGTCAGAGACCTGAAAAATCACAAATGCATGAGGTGGTTTCTGCGCTTTTACAGCTCGCCGAGGTACGAAGAGTGAATTTTTGCCCGGCTAGCATTATTGTTGAACTTGTCTATGGCGATGGGCGACTCTATGAAAGAGGTTCTCTCCCATACTATGTGGCTGGCTTACCTACGACCTATCATCATGACCCAACCCCCTTCTTCCAGAGTATGGGTAGCCATACTCGAGAACGGCTGCTAGATCCTACCCTATACCTCCCAGGGCATATCATCGGGCCGCTACCACAAGATATTTCGAATTACCTCCGAGATCCCAATTGGGGCGCGATTAATCCAGGGGTGAGGCTCTCAACTGGGCCAGTTACAAGTTCTGGTGCTGAAGCTGAGGTCAACCAATCAACGACATGCGGGGTGCTACTGAGGCAAGGATCATCGATGTTTGTAACCATCGCAAACCACGGATTTCTAGCCAATGATAGCGGAGAAGTCTTTCACCCGGTAGCCGATGGGGATATGATAGGAAACATCGTTAAAAGATACCCAGAGCTCGATATTGCGATGGTCCAACTTACCCCGGCAAATTCGAACAGATTTACAAATGGAACTTACTTTCAAGCCGAACCGCCAAGGCGATTAGCTGCGCGACGTGAGCTGTTTAGAGGTGCCTGGTTCGAGGTGGATGGCATGAGCACAGGCCTTCTCTCGTTTCAATACTGGAGCGACTCGATGGAGTGCCCACGGCGGCCGCCTGGACACCCTCCAATTCCCGTAAGCAGGTGGAAAATTGATATAACTTGCAGAATCTTTGGAGCCACTAGCCCTGAGATGATGGATGGCCTTTGCGGTGCTCCATTCGTCGAGGAGAGGACTGGGAACGTGGCCGGATTTTTCCATCTGGCGAATGGTGATTGGGCGGAATGCGCTACACTGGATGATCTTGTAGCAGAGGGTTATGATGTTGTCTAGAGGAGTATATGGCAGGTAGAAGACATGGTTTGCTTTAATAAATTATATTGATTCGGGAAGCTATTTCCAAGTAAAATGTAGAGTAGAAAGGGGAAAATAAAAACAATTCGTCGATTGTGTACTATGCCCCCATCTCGAACCTGTCGAGTTGGCCGTTCCCTGGTAAAAATGCAGATTAAAAACAGGAAAATAAAAAAGATCCATCACCTGCCCCGAACCCATCGAGTTGGTTACTGCTGAGTAGGTCGCTACCAAGTAAAAACGCAAATTAAAAATAGGAAAATAAATTGTATATCAAGCGGCAATCTCGACCATACCACCGACCAAATCCGTTGCCCAGTAGAGCCCTGGCGATATCTTGGGATTTATCATTTGTATGCCAGGTCCTGTCTCGACCATGTCCTGATGCAGCAGAGCCCCGACGATGTCTTAGGCATATGAGAAGGGAAATATCAGGGTTCCGTTATAGCTCATAGTGCCAATCGGTCGGCGAACCCAGACGTATCCGCATCGACAAGGCCCATCGCGACCAGGAGGTCGTATAAAAACTCCTCGCTCCCATGCTCATCTATCGCGATCATGCACCAATCCACCGCATCGAGGAGATGGTCGTTTGCGGGTATGCCTAGTTCTACCAGAACTGACGCACTGCTCAGTCGAATAATCGGGCGCAAGTCGAGGCAATGAGTTCCGTGCATCCGAATCGTATTTTTTCCCACGTCCAGGAGCCGACCGATCTTGAAAATGTAGTCGATGTCCTCTGCGAGAGATAGAACTCCGAGCATGCATTTCTTGTAGATGCTGAGTAGGATCGCCCTATACATCATTGCTGACACTGTCTTGTAGTGCTGTCGGACATCGGACATATAACCGAGTCATGATGAGGACTTCAACATCGAAATCGATGTCGAATTGTATTTTTATATAACCCCTCATTTCAACAGCAGCGGCAAAATCCGCAATGTGCACAGTTTCACCATAGTAGGTGGTCTTATATAGACTGGTAAAATATATAAAGTCGGAGCGGGTGTCATCTGAGGCAATGTCGTTCTGGGCTCTAGGCCCAAAGAACCTTTTGGCTGAGCTGGTATATGCAGAGCGAATTCCCTGGAGGCCAATGATTGACCTTGCGAGTAATACGTCCCCTGCGAACTCTGCGAGAAGGTATCGATTGATGTTGGCTGCGCAACCTTGGCTGGGGACAGCTGCTGCGGTGGGGTTTTCGGTCGGGGTGGAGTTGGGCTCGGGGATAGGAAGGTTGGACATCTCGTGGACGTTATGGGGCATCTTTGGGACGTTATCGGATATCTTGGGGACGTTGTCGTTGGTAGTAGCGTTCTCAAAGGTTGCTATAAGGTGTATGCAAAGTGAAACTGGTCGAGTAGCGTTCTACCAGGCGCGCAAAGTGAGGCTGATCGTGTAGCGTTCTGGTATAAGCTAAGGTGAAGTTCCATCTCAACTTCACATTATAATCTCAACTTTACATTATAATCTCAACCTCACACTAGAACAAAAAGCAACACGTGAGAGGACCCAACCAAATTATTTAAACTTATACTTATATATAAGCAGAATGGAACCAAGGAAGAAACGCAAGACCACCAAGACTACCCAGTCCCCAATTTCACAACAAGGTAGATTCCCTATTTCCCATACCGACCTTTGCTGATTATATAGATGGAATAATCCAACGTCTAGAGGCATTGGCAAAGACGAAGACGAGAGAAGCAAGGGTGGAAGTGCTGGCAGAGTTGGACGATATGAGACAATTACTACCTCCGACTACTGTAAGATGGCCCGAGGGCGGCAAGTTGTTACGACCTCTTCTCGAGGCCGCTGAGGACTACATCGCTGAACCGACGAAAGAGAGGGCTGTAGAGTTCAAGACTATGGCCGAGGCACTTGTCATCACACTCAAAGGGAAGAAGTAGATATAAATTCAGGGTTGATTTCACTATGTTTAAGGAGAGTCAATATAGAGTTCATCGCATTGTGACTACATCTCATATGCTAGAGTCTGGTTCATCTTCTGTCCATTGCGCCCACGTCTCATACATCAGTCGCGTTTTCTCGTGCCCTACTCATCCAGAAACTACCAATAGATGAACGATTTGGTCTTTGCGACCCGTGTTCGTACGGACAGTGGGGGCATGAGAAAAAATGGGTGTCCTGGAGAGGAGGCCATCCGCGCATTCGGGATCGTCTCGAAGCTCTCGTCAGTGCCCATGCGCCCAAATACGGCGAACTGGTTGGTGTGTTTGTCGTCGGTGCCGCCGGTGGCGTTATCGGCATTTGGGATGTCGAAGGCCTCGAAGGCGGCTGAGGTAGAACGGAGGCAATCGGTGTCAAGATCGATATAAACTCTAGAGAAGGGGGAGGATGATTAGCAAAACGTCCCTGTCATGGCTCAAGTTGTTTCGTTGCAACTCACCCGCCAAACATATACATGTACAAATTCCGAGAGAACCGTGCCTTTCCTCGAGCCAGGGGAAGTACTTCTTTATCAGGTTGAGGTTGTCCTCGTTGGTCCATAACACCCACTCCCAGTCATGATGTTTTTCGCGGCACACCGTGCTCCATTTCTCGAACTTCAGGGGGAGCTCGTTGGTTTTCCAGCTCTGATGGAGCAGCTTCGGGACCGAAGAGTGGTCGGAAGGCAAGGGTCGGCAGAGGAGCTCTCCTGCTGATAGAGGTCGCGCCAGTTTCGCCTCTGTGCTCGTGTTTGGCGTCTGTACAGCAGGGTCTAGAGGGCAACCTGCGCCGAAGTCCAGGGCCCATCGCTCAGTTGGTCGATCCACGGATATTTGTTGTGACTGGCCGAATTTATGGACGAAGAAGAAGGACAGGAGGAGCCAGATAACCAGACATAGCAGGATAGGTCGACTCATCTTCGATGCTGGTGTGCCACCAAGTTGTAAGAACTTACCCATCATCCAAATGAGCTGGTGGTCACACGAACAGTCCAATGTGACACAAGGGAACTCGTGCGTCTCAAAAGTCTCCAAAGGGGTCAGATACTGGAGAGTAGATATGGCTTCATTATTGCCGCTTGTTCTCTACGTGGGAAAACTCTCCCTTGTAAAGACTTATAATGCAGCAGCCTAGGGACCCCGAACTAACTCTTTACCAATTATATGCACTTGTGTGCATTTGTGTGTGCATCTGTCCTTCAATCCTTCAGCTGCACCTTATGAGTTTGTTTGTGTGTCCAAGTCCGTGAATTAGTGATAGCGAGTATTAACCAACAGAGACTAGTACTGTCTGCTCGTAAAAAATATCCAATCAAATTCAAAGGGGTCTATTCCCATTCTCAATCTCTATTTCTAGAAAGAGTCCCTTCCTTTGATCTGAGATCTATCCTGTCAATTATGCAACTATACAAACAGGGGTCTTTAATTACCCCCTCTCCTTTCACCCTTTCACCCATCCCTCTTCCTATACTTGTTCTCCAACTTTGCTATCTAAAGCAGAAGGGCACAATTGTAAACAGATCTATTCTCTTTCAATGCTATGCATCTATATTCAGCTACGACCTCCCCTTGCTCAGTCTTAAACCTTCCAATCGACTATCATTTGAATTGCCTTTCAGCCCTTCTCATTTGGTGTCCTCAAAACCCAAGCCCTCATTAACATCCAAAGTAACTTTTAACACATTCTTACTTCATAAAGACGTCACTAGACCCTGCGTCTCATATAGCCTGTCTGTTAATTAAGTCTCCACATATATATACAGGTGACCTGCCCCAACAGGAGTCGGTTGACGGGGCAGGTCACCTACATACAGGTTCAATACAACGTAGTAACATGCGAACAAACCTAGACCTCTCACCCTGATATTTACTCTTGGCCCATAGGAAAATTCACAGAGCCCTCAGCCATGCACCAAAGCCAGGTGCCTTACGTGATATATTAATGCTGTAGCTTCTATCTACTTCGCTTTGTGGCCGTTAGGTTTCGGAATCTTGCTCCTGAACGTATACATGAACAGCTGCTCTCTGGTCCACACCTCCTTATCCTTATCCTCGATCTCCTCAATTAAAAATATTTTTCTCGCGGCCTTCATAAACTGCGCATCGGCCCGCCGCCTTTTCTTGAAGCAGAAGTAGATCACTGCCTGGTCGCAAGCAGTGAGAAGCTGGGTGAGAGTGAGGAGGAGGAGAGGAAAGGCCGGCTCGAAATAGACGCAGTCAGCCGCAAGAATATGCGTCGCAGGTTTCGAAGATAGGACTTCTGGCAGAGGCTCGCCCCTATTTAGTAGTCAGTAAAGCAATCCGGTGGAGTCGTGGTGTTTGCAAATACCAATTCAGCACTAAAGGGGTAACACGTGACTCGAGGTTGTTGAGCTTGACATTCTGCTCCATCAACGGCAACATATTAATTTGATCTGTAATGTATATCGGTGCCGTAATATTGCAAGCTAATGCGACGGCGAGTCCAACGAGTCCCCCTCCGGCTCCAAGTTCGAGTCTAAAATTTTATGTCAGCTGACCAGATTTTTTTTTCGTGAGAGTTGAGCCGGGAACTGGAAGAAGGTGATATTGGAACGACAATAGCCACCGTTCAAGACAACAGCTCTGCTGACTGTGTTCTCACATTGTAGCATATTTCAAATCATGTTTATGTTCCCTCAGCATGTATTTTGAGAGTACCATCCCCGCCGGCCATAGTTGGCCCCCACATCCGCCTTTCAGGTCTTCATGGAGCTGTAGTGGTGCTGTGAGCAGCCCGTCAAAGTCTATGGACGTGGTTGATGCGGCCTTGTAGACCGGGAGAGGAGTCAAGTCTTCGCCGATAGAAAGGGGCAAGAATTCCGGAGATGGGACGCGGGAGATCATCGCTCGGAGGGTTTTGATATCGATCTGACTTACTACTCTAGGTACACAAGGTTGTTCGTCATCTTGGGCTGATGTATCAAAATGTTACATGACTTCAGTTTGTGGTGTTACCAGATTCAGTTTAGTGCCAGCGGGAAAGCCGCAAGCCTGACCCTCCTTTCCAAGGCGCTGACATCAATCTGAGAAGTACAGTACGTACTCTTTCTTATAACTGTACTTACTGTACCAATGTGAGCATCAAACTACGGCATTCTCTACGCGAGTATTGTTATTTTACCTCCTATTAATCTCCTGTTTACCCCTGTTTACCTGTTTACAGTACGGCGCCATAAGTATGAATACAGGTCTGTGCTTAAATTGCAGTAAACGAGTTGTCTTTTTGTATGGGAGAAAGCATAGACCTGTATGCATACTTATGGCGCTCCTGTTTACCCCTAGTTACCTCCTAGTTACCGCCTAGTTACCTCCTAGTTACCTCCTAGTTACTCCTGTATACAGCATTGTGACCAGTAGTTTGCGAGTTATACAAAGCATACCGTTGAGAATGCTCCGTGTTTCGGACACACACTGATCAGTCAATTGAAAAGCGATACCTCACATTTCTCTACTCCTGTTTGAACCAGAGCCAGGTTGCGAAATTCCCATTTCGTGGCTCGAGCATCTAAACCGAGGTCGATCTGCTTTGAAGTAGTGGACTTCTCGGCATGGATACCGGGTGTGGGCCTTGGATATGCTCGTCGGGAGATATCAAGCCTTATTACTCTCCAGAGATGGCAGCATACTAGTCTGGCCCCTTGATAAGTTACAGAACCATGCCCCCCTTGCAGAATGAACATTCTTATGAACGCCCTGGCTGCCGTTTCTCGTCATACCTCTTCCACTCACACAACATTAAACCTCGTGGCAAGGTAATCCAGATATGCGAGGGAGGGTCTCCGTTTGATGATGCCTGCAGCCGCCTTGTTCGACATGGGGACGGCAGAACGCAGCCGCGAAGGTTCGTCAGGTTTGCTATGTCGGGATCCTTCCCTCCCATTTTGTCCTGTTATTTTGATATCTCGTTTGCTCTTTCATGTTGTGTCGCTGTGGATTCTTTATTTCTACCAGGCCATCTGGAGAAACCATCTTGGAGTGAAAATCCGAGTCCCCTCGGACAGCAGCAAGATGCAACTCTATATGCATCGTGGCCACGTGTGGAGAAGGATGCGGTCGCAGACTGCATGCATGATTATGCTTCTAGAAGGTCTCGCTGCAGCAACGCCTACAATAAATCTCCCTTTCAACTCTCAGTTCCCACCTGTTGCGCGAGGCTCAACACCATTCAATTTCACACTTTCGGAGTCGACCTTTTCTTCAGATAAGGCATTGACCTACGCTTTGTCAAATGCACCAAGTTGGCTGTCTCTCGATAGCGCGACTCGAACTCTGTCCGGCACGCCGCCAGATTTGGCTTCTGGTACATCGCCGACCATGGATATTATTGCTACTGACGGGTCTGGGTCCATCTCCATGAGGTCAAATTTGATCGTCTCGACACGTAAGGCGCCAGAAATTACGATGCCAATTGAAGCTCAATTAAAGTCTCAGGGTGAGAACACTGCGCAGAACTCTATTATATTCAACACATCGTCTCGATTCAGCTTTAGCTTCAGCGCAGGCACGTTTACATACCCCGTCGGCAGAAGCACGTTTGCATACTTCGAAAGCCCATCTCCCATCAGCATGGTTGCAGTTACAATGGACAACACGCCTCTGCCTCCATGGATATCTTTTGACAACTCCACAATGACATTCTCGGGAGAAACACCGGACTCGAAGGCTTTAACCCAGCCCCATGAGCGCTTCGGAATCCGCCTTATTGCGTTAGATGTGCCTGGATTTGCTGGAGCATCAGTACCCTTCTATATCGAGGTTGAAAATCACAAGATTGAGTGGGACGACACGGCTCTAGAGATGAAAATTTTTGTTGGAAAACCATTTGAATTCAAGGCTCTCTCCGGGAGTCTGAAACTGGATGGCAAAGTAGCAAACACGGCGGATATTATATCCGTCGCTACTACTAAGGTGCCTTGGCTCGAGTTCGACAATACCACCTATGTTCTATATGGGACCCCGCGGGAACGACGGAAAAGTGCATCGCCGCTTAATGTGACAGTTTCGGCTCAAGACAGATATGGTGGAACTGCGACGGTCGTCATTCGAGTAACACTTGCAAACAATATATTCTCCGACGGCGACACTGCCCCAATAAACGCTACTATTGGCCAACCATTCTCATACAATGTTAGCCAGGCTTTCGTCGACCCAACTGCTGTCGATATCGGAGTATCGATTTCCCCACAAGTATCATGGTTATCATTCGATTCGAAAGCTTTTAAACTATCAGGAGATGTTTCCAAATCCGCTGAGGAATCATCAATTAACATAACCATGGCCGCGACACCCAAATTAGCTCTTTCCAAGACGGCTCCGGATTTGAAGTCATTTACCATAACTGTCGTTTCGCAGCCTCCCAGTACGTTATCTGGTATTCACACGTCAGCAATAATTGAGACTGAAGATTCAACACTAGATTCCAATGGTTTAGAAGCCACGACAGCCACAACTGATAGTGCCTCAAGACACGGTTTGACACGAGGAGAGCTTGCTGCGGCTATCATCTTGTCTATACTTGGAGTGATTTTCATGGCTGGGATTCTGTTGTACTGCGGGAGACGACAACGGAATCGCTTCAAACTGTCGGATCCCATAGTACCTCTATCAAAAAGAGATATCTCAACACCAAGGCTTCAAAAAAAGTTCTCAATATTGGGCCTGAATGGGAGTCCAGGAAGTGCCCATCCGGGGTTGAGAGCTAAGGCTAGAAATATGGACAAGGTTACGTTTGACAACCCAGACCCATTCAGTACAAAGTATTCTGTTGCAACCGTTAGACAATCTTCTTCGTCCTCCAAGTACTCCGACGAATTATCTCCACATTTTAACGCGGGTCATAGTGGCCACAAAGATTTCTCTCGTCCATTTCAAGGCACAGGCGGGTCTGAAAACTCAATCGACGATGACCCCGATATCATAATCATTCAAAACTTCCCCAACGAACCAGACGAGGAGATCAAATCTCGTAGCATCACTGCAGCTCCCTCTGCAGTTCGCACCAAGGGCGGTACACATTCATTCCACCCCTACCGTACAACTCCCAGGGCATCACCCAACCTCGAACAACCCCCAGAGGCGACATGCACGACAAATACGACAAAATACCGCGCGCACAAACGGCATCGAACTCCCAGCGATCTAGGCCCCCTTCTAAACACGCCGCGCAAACAGTACAGCAGTACTAGTCTCCAACGCACAGGCTCAGAACGCAGCACCAGAACAGTCCAACCCTGGAGCAAAACAAGTCGCGCCAATGGACATAATCACAGTACATCAGTCAGCCCCGTCGAGGAGAGCACCTGGGAAAGCACCCCAGGCAGCCCAATCAAAAGCTCCGCCGCCCGCCCACGCAGCAGCTTGAGTGTCGTCACCGAATCCACCGACGTGCTTTACCTGGGCCACCCCTCCCCTACGACTACAACGAATGACAGCCTCCCATTGACATTTAACTCTGCTTCGCCATTCACTCAGCCCCTACAAACCTTTCTCAACATGGCCTACTCCCCACCAGGTACCAACCTAGGCAATAGCAGATCGTCACTCTCGCAACTACCCGGTCGTCGTACTGCAGGATCGAGCCCGTTCTTCAGCGGCAGTCACCGCACGAGTGCAAGAGTGCAGTCGCGCGGCGAGATGCTCTTCGGTGCAGACAAGGAAGCGGCAGCGAAGATTAGCAGACGTCAGGCGGTGCCCGAGCCGTTGGCACTACGAAAACTTGCGAGGGATGAGAACAAATTGCAAGCTTTGCAAGATCCAGGGCTAGGACACCTGCTGGACGGGCTGGGTGGTAGCCGTATCGATCTAGCGATTAGCTCATATGCGGGTTCGATCGAGATGACGGAAGATGGCACGAGGCGCTTGGTCTCCTTCTTGGCTTCAGTAGACAAGAGGAAGAGTTGGAGCGATACGGACTCGAGGAAGTCATTCAGCGCGTGGGATTTTGAGCAAGAAAAGGAGGGCCCAAGTGAGGCCCCTACCGGGATGTTGCAGAGGCTTAAGAGCTACAGGAGTAACGTCTCGACCCGCTCCAAGACGACCTTTAGGGAGCAGAGTATGTGGCTCGGCAGCGAGGACAAGGATGCCCGGGGACCAACGTTTATGGAGCAGATGGCTTCGCTGGAGTATTATGGGGGGCTGTTTGGAGGCACTGCTGATAAGGGGGGGAGGTGGGCTCGGAGCCATTGGTCTGAGAGTATAGGGGGTAGTTCTAGGCGGCTATCGACACCCTTGAGCCCTAAATCCTTTGAGCTGGGGCCTTGGGCCAAGAGGGATGGGAATGATGGTGTAGGTTCTGTGGTTGTATGAATATGATACAGGGTATGTGGGGTGCTATTCGGGTTTAAGTTTTGTATTTATAATTGTAATTTTTTTTTGTCGGGGTTGGAAGCCTTCTATAGAAAGGTGGATGAGGGATGGGAATTATGGAGTGATGAGGGGGAGCTTGAACGGTATTAGTTAATAGTTGAAGGGCAATTGGGTTTTTTTGGCAATTATTTTAATGTTTTATTTTATTTTTAATGGGTTTTATTTATTCGTCTTGGTCCAACACATCAAGACACTATTTATTTATATTCTTGTAAAATAACATGCGGGCAAGTGCGCATCGGGAAACAGCTCCCACCTCCATTAGGAATCCGTCTGCATTAGGCAAGGCGCGTGCACGGACGCACCGCCGCTTTCACGGCATATATAGATTCTACCCTCCCTCTTTCCCTTCCCTTCTCTGTCAATTCCCCGACACCCAACACACGCCACCTCGCCTCCGACGCTCTGTCGTCTGCCTGACATGCACCTAATGTGGGCGCCTTTCAGCCCTTCTGGTGTTGGTCCACTTTTGCCAGGCTCCTCGACGGAAACACCCCAGCCAGACACCGCATCCGGCTTGACTCCGCGACGATCCTGCCTCCTACCATAACCCGTCGTCACTCTGGCGACGCTCAGCGCGTCGAGTCTGACTCGCATTGGCTCGTGATGCAGGTTACGGGGGGCTGAGGTCGGAGCTGAGGTCGGAGCGCCCTTGAACCCGCCTCGAATCCGCCTCATGATGCATCGTTGTCCTTCCCCTTCAGGCAGAGTGCGCAGGAGATTGGAGGCGCTGGACGGCGGAGTCGTACACATCACGCAGCGCACAGCCAGTTGTGAAAATGCCTCACGTTGGCTAGGCTCCTCTAGGACGTCACGCTGCAGTCGAACACCCCATTCAGCTCGAGTCCGAAACGATCCTACCTCATAACTTCGACGCCGTGGCCGCGGCTAGCGCCTTGGATCTGCATCACACTGGCTTATCAAGAGCTGAGACCAGAGCAGTCTTAGGCCTGCGTTGTCATGGGACCGTTGTTTCTGCCCCTTGAGGGAGAGAGCGCCGGAGATTTGAAGTGCGGTGACGCTTCGGGCCACACATGCCGCCGGACGCAGCCAGTCGCGAAAATACCTCGCGTTGGCTCGGTCTGGGATGCGCCACCACTGCGATACTCGATAGGTCATTTGCGTGGGATCGGAGTTCATGCGGCCACCTTAGTGCTCGTCGGCGAGGCCGTGGAGCCGGGCAATCTCAGAACTGTGATGTTGCAATTGGTGGATTATGCCTGGGGCCATTCCTGCGCGAGACGCAGAGATTTTTTGCTCTGGTGTATTTTGGACAGGAAGATGGCACGAGGGGCAGCGCGATGCGACCAGAACCTACATATGAGTCTTTCGATCCACTGCCTGCAGTTGGTGAAATATTTCAAATCGATTTTGACGCCCTCGACATGGCCACTTTTGTCCCCTATGAATATGTGCCCACGCGTCCTCGGGGTGCGAAAGCTCGCCGCGAGCCTATCACAGCAATCCAGCATCCTCAACGACCACGCTCCCGCTAAGCAGATGGGAATCGCACTTGACGCTCTATTGCCAGCAGTAGGCGCAGCATCTAATGACAATGGGAGCGGCATGCCCGGAAATCAAGGTATTTGAGAGACTTGAATGCCACTGTAGCAAGATGACTAACTTTGGAGTATTAGTTGAGACTAGCATTGCATATTTCGATAACTTTGGCGATTATAACGACCACTACCTCCCCACAATCGAGGAACTTTTGCATACCCACCTACAGAAGGCGGGTTCTGGTGTGGAGGAAGAATGTTTAGAGGACGCGAGGTCCATCGACCAAAATACGTCGGCATTGAACGTCAGTTCCAGTGGTGACCGAGGTGAGCAGCCCTAATATCTCGCGTCGCACATAACAAACTCTGACGTGATTCTTGCCGTTGTATAGGCAATCCAATTAAGCTGCGAGATGACGAACTTTGTGCCTCCGAGGACGAAATTAACTGGGAAAATATGAACGGGGATCAGGAGATTTTAGGTCGCGCTAAGATTGTGCTCAACCCGAGCCGTACGTACGCCTACTTCCGATCCCGACCAAGTATCGTCGATATTAGATTCCATGCGCCCTCTAAGCGAGCCATTACACGGCCGGATCGACACAGAAGACCCTTTTACGGCTTGTGCGGCCTGTGCTGAATCTGAGACGACAAAGCCTCTTTCTGCGCGTCATCGCAAGCAGTCTCCACGCCGGCCAAGATCCTCACAACATGGCCAACTCATTCACGAAGATTGTGCCTATTGCAGGCAAGCTACGCCTGAATTCGATAATCCTACCTCGGAGGAGATGCAGCAGCAGCAGCAAGACGAAGAAGAGAATATTAATAGCTATGATGATGATGGATTGCAACAGTCAGACGAAGATACCGCGAGGGTAGCGCCAATAACTGAACTGGCCGACGAACTTCCCCCGCCCAGTCCGTCCCTGTACCCAAGCCAAGAACAAGCGACGAGCAATAGCGACAATTGCAGCGACGACGAGCCCAGTACCGCCGAAGCTGAGTCAGACGACAGCGACCGGAGGCGATACCCCACCAAGCGGAAAAGGTCGTTTTTATCTTACGTTGGCCCAACGCAAGGGAAGCGTCGGCAGCATCTTCAGCCGAGCTTTACCCAGGAAGGGAGAAATTGCTCCCAGAAAAGGCCCCGTTGGAAGCCACATAATCATGGTTCGAGAGTTGTCCCAGCCTGTGGCAGTAACAGCCAATTACCTTCGCCACCTAGTTCTTTCCTAGGCTGCGGCATCCTCAGCGAATCATCCAAACACACTGCCACTGCTCACCGAGGTCACATTCCGTCTCCACTCCCCGAATTACTACTCTTTTTCTGCATTCTTTCGGGACGATTGTCATGAGCCGCAATTCTCTTTTGCCCAGCTCTCTAAACTTATCGAGGGTGTCGGCCACTCTGGGAATATCGAGGACCTCACAATCAAGCCGCTGAAGCAACACTCGTTCCTGGTGACTGGTTTTAGCCGACTTACGCCATCCTGCCAATCTCAAAGTGGGAAGTCCATCATAAACGCATGCCCTATCCCGCTGGGTGCAAGGCGGTCCCGGCTTGACGAAGGCAGTGGCGCTAGCGCTTTTCTATATCAGCGGCGAGGGACGTCCACCTACATCGTTTACTCTGGTTCTGGCGACAGTTCTAGCGAGGATGAACTGGGACGTTCGGACACAAGGAAGTATAGCCAATGGTCAGCGTCAAGAAGCTCCGATGTCGATGACTTTGACGACCGCGATCCTTATACCAGTGGCGACGGTGACGCATATTCGAGCGAGGATAATGTGAAATATAGTGAATGGTCATCGCTTTAAAAGCACAGGTTATTAGCGTTCAAGAGGAGGGCAAGTCTTGGAAGTGGATCTTCAGCAAGTTTCCGGGCAGGACTCCGGGCGCAGTACGCACGCACTGGAGCACAATGCAGCCGAAGGCAAAATAGGCGAAGTTCCACCATGTCGCAAGGCGGCTCTTGTGGGATTTTACGTTGTGAGGGTCACTTCTTATACTTATCATAGCTTCTACGTGGTGGAAACTATGCCATGAGCGTCTATAGATAGGATAGAGCAGATCCAATGTGATATATGAATATGATCCTCGTCTATGTATTTAATAATAGCCCGGAAGGATCAACTACCGTTTCTGACGGCCCAACGCTCGTCGCGGTGCATCTCATCATTTATCGGGCTTTAGGCAGCCAGTGGTACATAACGTCTGTGTTAACGTAGAGCCATGTGAAATAATGTAAAATCATTAGCTGCTGACTCGTCGTACAGGTACCTTGTCCATAGAGTTACAGTAAGTACAAGCAAGGCATTTTTATTGGATATTTCCTCGACGATTGTTTGCCAAGGTCTGTCTGCGTTGTCACAGTCTCTAAATATATAACAGCCGCGATAGCCACGGTATCAGAGGCTCACCCAGCTTCTTGAGAGAAAAGCGCATAGGCTAAACTTTGCATATTGTACGTGGTCTCTTCGATTTGGTTTAACTTCTATGTACTGATGAAGCAAAACGGACTCCTCGCCATACGCGCTACGTGTTCCTCACGCATCGAGCCCTCTTACGAGCGAGGAGAGAGCGGCACCGTCGCAGGAGCTCAAAACATGGCCGACGCTAAAGATGGCAACAGTGGTGGCGACCATTCATCGGGGGAGTAGGGGAGTATAGCGGTGTCGTCCAACATGCTCATATTGCCCAGAGCGGCCAGGCTAGGCTTACAGAGGAAATCACCATCGCCAAATCGCCCGGCAAGGGGCGCGATGTAGGGATAGTGATCTCCTCTGGCGACAACACCAAGAGGGATAGAGCTGAGAGAAAGGCTAGAAAGGAGGCGGCGGAGAAGAAGGCTAAAGGAAAAACAACAAATAATCGAGTTGATAGCGGTTAGAGGGCACTGTTGAAGATGGATCCTATTTTATTTGACCAATGCCTCCTTCTACACTATATAGTTGCTGATTCCCCGAATCGCCGTCGGAGTTCCTCATTATATTTGATATTATCATCAACCTTTTGTTGAACAACGTCCTCTGCATTCTCACACCAAAACTTCGACAGAACCTCCTCGAAGTCTGAATATAGTTCTGCTGAAAATGCAGGGCAGATGTGGTCCACAAGAAGAGTAAGCATAGCATTCGCCGACGATATACAATACCAATACCAAACTCCTTTTGAATCCCACGTGTCATGCATAGCTCCTGATATTGAAATGTTATGTTCTCCCAGACCCTGCTCTTCTTCCTCTAATATATCCATAAACTCCCGTCGTATTTCGCTGAACTTAATTAAGTGATCCTCTTCTATCTCGTCAATGCGTCGTCCAGTAAGCCAGTATGGTACTGCAAGCATTTCCGCAGGAAGAGCGCATATCCACTCAAGGTCGACAAGGCAAGTAAGGTTGCATTCCTTGTCGACAAAGATGTTGGAGGGATTGACGTCGGTAAGCTGCAGCAGAAACGGCCCATTACGGCGAGCACGGTTGATATATTGATGTGAGAGAGCCCGGAGTAGCATCCTCTGGGTCATCTGGGTACGGCAGTCTCCAGCGTCGTATACTGCGTTCGGGTTGTTGAGGAGGCGCTTGTCATGGAAGGTAATCATGTCGGATACGAAGGGCTCAGTAGACGCATAGGTGTCATCCTTTTGTGCTATCCTCTGTGTGCCTTCATTCTCTAGTGCTACTATTGTACATGTAAGCGGCCGGTTTGTCAGTGTCACAGCACAATCGTCGTGGAACTGAAACGATCCTATTCTCGGCTGAGGTATACGGGCGAGAGACAAGATTATGCGTGATATGCCTTGGAACAACCTCCTCCTGCAAGCCGGGTCTTCCCGTTGTGCCTCCCACGTGTTTGAAAGCATCTCACCCGTGCTTGAGTCTATATACTCAAGCAGCATATAGGGCGTACGGAAATTGCTCCTCTTCTGGTGGGGCGTATATTGTGATAGGGTAGGGTATCGAAAGAGGCTATAAAAGCACTGCCAGAACAGGCGGGAGAGGCGCACATGGAGAGGTCGGTGCTCTGCGTGGGTAAATTGGCCGAACTAGACTCCAAACAGAATTAGGAACGGCACGGAATAGACTGTAGGAAGGTGGCTCACATGTCGGCTGTCCGAGAAGCCAAAGCCGTATAAGTGAGGGATACGGATATCAGGGCACTTATCCTGCATCCACATATATGCTCCCAACTCACAGCTGAGCTTCTCATCTACCGTGCCGGGGTATATGCTTTCGGCAAGCTTGTGTGGCATCGGGCATCGAAAGATAAGTTTCTTCGATAACTTGCCAAGATTTGCCTCAATAGGTACGCAAATATTGAAGCCGCCTTGGATCCATGTCGACTGCTCGAGGACAGTGTAGCTGAGCTCACTTCCTAATCCAAGGTGATGTTTAGCAATGGCTTCAATCTCTCTTCTCTCCTTCCAAAGTTCCTGCCGGAGCTCTGCTGCTGCAGGACCGTAACCTAGCTGGCGGATGACGTTCGCTTCTACTTTTTCAGCAGATTCGAATGTGATGGGGTTGCGACCGTGGAATTCGAGCGTAGTAGGCATAGCAAAGAGCTGGTTTTGAGAGCCTGTCCTCTATACACGTCACGGAACTTTGTTGAGCATCACAATATAAGCTTTTGGTAGTATCAGCGACAGCCTCGGGATACGGGAAAACTATAATGCCGAACTTAAGACAAGGAGCCTTGTTCACGTCGGCACAGCATTCGCCCGACGCTTCAGCACGTGGTCTACGCGAATCGCCGATGCGTTAAAAGTAGCTCTCTGCCCACGTCCATCCAGCTTCCCCACCGTCTTCCCCACAAAATGCCGTCCCAAGTTCTTGTTCAATTCGAGACAGGAGAATACCTAGACCTAAAGGCAGCGTTTGAAAAACGTCCTAAAGAGGCTCAAGACATTTATACGAAGTAATTCTCTTTGGGAACATTTCAACAAGAGTGCTTTCTTTGCTTAGGGTTGTGAGTATGTTCAGGGTTCGTCTTGAGGAGAATCAAGAACGCAAGCGGAGCAGACAATACGACGTGTACTCGATGCGTGCCGCCAGGGGGCGAATCCTGGATCCATTGAAGAGCGCTTTTACACATATGGACAAGAGTTTGCTATTATCGCGCTCTACATTGCCACGAATAATAACTACAAGGTCTTCAGAGACATTGGCGACCTTGACGCTAAAGATCGAGTCAAGCTCATCAAAGACGTTATTCGCCTCCCCCAGGAGCGCTACATAACTAATTTCGTGAATGAACTCAAAAGGTTACCAGTAGTGACCGACCATAAATCTTACCTATTTGCTAGACGCCGGGGGCGAATAAAGGGTAAGTAACTACACCAACATATTTAAGCCTCTACTAATCTTCATAGAAACACAACAGCTTATTCCTCCGCTAGCAAATATACGTTCAGATGCCTCACCGGCCCCTCAACCAGCGAATCAGCCCTCTCCGATCTCTCAGGCAACAAGTCCATTAAATCCTAGATATCATATTATTATATGATATCATGATATATTGTCAGAATTATGGTGTATGATATTGTCAGCATATTACATCTTGCGATATTGTATCACGCCATATATCATGATATTAATATGGTGATATAGCAATATATTACAATACTAACAATATACCTTGCTGTCATCTACTCTCGACCCGTCGTCACTAATTCAATTATCTACCCAAGCTGTGCCTCCTCCCCTGTACCAGGATTTTAGGCACTCTAATGCCTCAACTGACTCAACTCCAAGCCTATTCCTCCTTTCAATAATTGTGAGAGCGGCACTGGAAAATAGGCGTTCAGGCTCGGCAGACATCGCTGGTATTGACAGTATGTCTAATGCCATCACCGCCAGGTTGGGATAGGTTGCATGCTGTGCTGGCTCCATCCACCAGGACTTTGGGTCAACTTCTGGTGTAATACCTGCCAGGCAGTACTTGATATACTCATCAATAACTGGTGGCTGCCGCCTCTTCTGCTCAAGCCAGATTTGATGCTCAGTCTTCTCCTGTACTAGTGTAATGATGTATGACTACAGTATTCCGGCTCGCCCGGAATACGCGTAACATGCTTTATATACCACATGTACTGTAACGGCGGCACCCGTTACAATTATCCCCCCTATAGTCCGTGACGTCCCGGCACGGATGTAGAGGCTTCTAGCGTATCATCTCGTACTTGCTTCTAGGCCCGTTACTACTCAGGATGCTAAGGTGTGTATATAATAGCTTAAGCCCCAAGGACGCCCCCTTGTCAGCCAGGTAAGGAATTACACTGATTGCTCGCTTAGCCCACCCAACTAGCGAGCCAATCAAAACCCATTGACCAGTGAGCCGGAATACTCTTGTAATGATGTACGGTTACGCTCGCGCTACATCCCACTGAGCCAAAAAGACTACAGTATTCCGGCTCACCCGGAATATGCGTAACATGCTTTATATACCACATGTACTGTAACGACGGCACCCATTACAACTAGCTCATTTGATGACATTACTAGTTGAGGTGTTGGCTTGTATTGCTCGTCCCAAAATAGCTGCATAGATGCCTTTGCTGTTACTATCCAAGTGCTCTCCCAGTTGTCTTCAATCCAAGTCCATTTTTGAAAGGGTACTAATACCATGGCTACAATATAAGCTGGAGATCGTTCAGTCAGGCTATAGTACTTGTCTAATTTAGACCAGGCTGAATTGATACAAGGGCTAATATGAGAATCGTTGATATACTCAAGTTTGCCAAGTTCAAGCTGCTCAAGTAGAAATTCCATTGTTGAGAGAATATGCTCAATTGTTGCCCTTTGGCCCTCTGTTGCTAGTGTTGCTTGATGAAAGAACTTAAGAAAGTGGTGGATATTTGTTAGTACGACCCAGTCAATTGCCAAGTTTATATGCTCTTGGATAGCGCAGTCGATCATAGCATACCAGGAGTTCTATCGAGTCTTGTTATCTGTAATGGTGGGTGCACCAGATGTGAGAATCTAGCCACCCAAGGAAGGGATGAATTTACTAAGACAACACACTGTCTTAGAAAACAGAGCCAAAGGGTCGTAGCTTAGACTATTCCACAACGCAGCAATCAGGTGTGTGATGTAGTGAAGTGGTTCAGACAAGTTGCAACAAATGTTGAGTCTGGGAACTCAGGGGTAAGTCAGAGGTTAACAGCTCACTGACTTTTCAGAAACAAGGAGTAACAAGATCAATGCTTGGAAGCTTGGAAAAGATGTGGAAGTATGTGATAGTCAATTTACTGTATTGTCTGCTTGCCCTTTCTTAAGGAAAGGGCAATCCTATTTATGCTAAAGGAGTGTAGTTCTCTCATTTTTCAAGACTTTCCATGACTTACCAGGCTTGGTAACTGTAGTCGACGTAAGAGAATCCCATAGAACCATCTCTTAGGTTCGTAGCCTATAGGAAGTAAAAGGAGGTCCAAGGTCAGAGTACCCCTATAGACAAATTATGTCATAGACAAATTATGTCATAACTTAACCAATCTTGTGGGTAACTAAAGAGCGATGACATGTAATGAATCATAGAGGTTTGTAGGAGCTTTTAGAGCTATCGTTCATGCTCCTAGGCCTCTAGTTGGTAGAGATATGTCATGTGGTAGTATGAGTGATGTCATGTAATGAATCATAGAGGGTTGTAGAGATATGCTATGTGGTAATATCGGCCCAGTAACTAAGGAGCGATGACGTGTAATGAATCATAGATGGTTGTAGCAATCGTTGAGTAGTATTGCTCTTGTTGTTGGTGTGATAAGCCAAAATATGTATAGTGACTTGTAGGTTTGAGGAGGAGATTTCCAAGTTTGCTCTTGAGTTTGATAGCAAACTGAGTGCAACGAATGTCAGTATGACATGATCCCTGACTAGACGCTTGCCAGAACTGAGCTTGACAAAGGCCGCAATTCGTTGTGGAGATCTTTGAATATATACTACAATATTATGAAGCTTTCCAAGAGGACCTTTCCGACACCAGCTCTCCATTTCAAGCTCAGAAGGGGTATCAGAACTGCCTTGATTGTTCTCTTGTGATAGGGCTTCTTCTTCAGTTGAAAAGAGAAAGGCCTGAGCAGTTAAATTGATAATATGACCATTACAACGAAGTCGGTGATGAATTGGATTGTATTCGAACTGTTCCTGTAGTACTAAACAATATAGTTAGTTATTGGTAATAGCTATTTCTAAGAGGAATAACTTGCAGGAAGAAAGCGCTCTCATCATAGTTTCATTGTTCTCAGCATTGTCCATCATAAAATAGACAACCTTCGAGGCAATTCCATACTCCTCAATAATTCTCATAATTAGTCTTGCCTGATTATCACCAGTATGTCGTCCTTCCAATTCTCTCAAAGCTAGAACTGACTGTCAGAGGTCTCCATTATCTGCAAAGTAGTGACCAATTATACCGAGAAGCGCTTTAGAGTTGGTAGAGGTCCATAGATCAACTGTGAAATGATTCTTAGACTGCGCAGATTGAAGACCTTGTTGTATACGTTGCCTCTCCGATTCGTAGGCTGTGAGGGTCCAATTTTTGATAGTGTGGTGGTCTGTAGGCAGCCAGGAATTGATGCCGGGATTGAGGAAGAAGAGAAGGTCTCTAAATTCTGAATACTCTACCATTCGAAATGGAACTGAACAACGGGAGATCCATCGTACAAATAGCTGTTTGAGTGTTGCTGGGTTGATAGTAGTAGAGAAGAATCTAGACATCGACGCTTTTTCTGGTTCTCTTCTCCATGTCGAAAGGCAGATGCAATACTAAGTTGTTGAGAGATGGCACGTTGCTCTTTCTCCTCATCTGTGATGTTATGCTCTGTTTGTAGATGTCGTGCAATAAATGCTGTACCTCCAGATTCTCTATACTCTCATGAGCAGTATTGACATCGCCAGTAGACATATTTGCCTTGAGTATATATAGTATTTACTGGACCAGGCATATGCTTCCAAACAAATGAGGTACGAGGGCATTTCTTACTTCTAATTGACTCTGTCAACTGGGTGGATTGTTGAGTTGCAGAGGCAGGTATTGATACGTGAGATTCAACAAACATATCAGGATCTAACATTGAGGGAATAGTTGATTTTGGTACTAGTGAGGCCATATTTGTCATACTGACATTCGTTGCACTCAGTTTGCTATCAAACTCAAGAGCAAACTTAGAAATCTCCTCCTCAAACCTACAAGTCAACATACATATCTTGGCTTATCACATCAACAACAGAAGCAATACTACTCAACGATTGCTGCAAACTCTTCTACTACATCTGTTTATGCTACATACATCACGGCATATCATTTGGACACTCATTGAACAAGTTATTAAGAAAATCTCCTCCTTAAGGGGGTGGGCCAATACTACCACATGGCATATCTCTACCAACTAGAGGCCTAGGAACATGAACGATAGCTCTAGAAGCTTCTACAACCCTCTATGATTCATTACACGTCATCAGTCCTTAGTTACCCACAAGACTTGGTTAAGTTATGACATAATTTGTCTATAGGTACTCTGACCTTGGACCTCCTTTTCACTTCCTATAGGCTAGGAACCCAAGAGATGGTTCTATGGGATTCTCTTACGTCGACTACAGTTACCAAGCCTGGTTAGTCATGGAAAGTCTTGGAAAATGAGAGAACTACACTCCTTTAGCATAAATAGGATTGCCCTTTCCTTAAGAAAGGGCAAGCAGACAATACAGTAAATCGACTAGCACATACTTCTACGTCTTTTCCAAGCTTCCAAGCATTGATCTTGTTATTCTCTGTTTTTGAAAAGTCAGTGAGGTGCTAACCTCTGACTTACCCCTGAGTTCTCAGACTCAACATTTGTTGCAACTTGTCTAAACCACTTCACCACATCATACACCTGATTGCTGCGTTGTGGAATAGTCTAAGCTACAACCCTTTGGCTCTGTTTCCTAAGACAGTGTGTTGTCTTAGTAAATTCATCCCTTCCTTGGGTGGCTAGATTCTCATATCTGGTGCACCCACCATTACACCTTGCCTGCTTCAAGCTTCAACTATTTCTATAGCAGCACTTCGATACTACAATGGAGGACGACCAAGCTCCTACAACTACTGCTGAACAGCAGATGCAACAACTGTTTGCCTTTATACAAACTATAGCAAACAAACTTGAGAATTTGGAAAACACCTTTCAAGCCAACACTTCAGCAACACAATCTTCAACTCAGACACATCATACAGAGCTTCCCACAGCTCCTCTGGCTATTTCGAGTACCCCAGGTGCACTTCCTAAAGTGCAAACACCAGATTTATACCATGGAGACAGGAGGAAGTTGAAGGGATTCCTTATGCAACTGGACATCTACTTCACCCTCAGGCCTCATCAGTTCACCTCAGACATTCAGAAGATCTATTTTGCTGCCAGCTACCTCCGTGGATCTGCATTCAACTTCTTTGAGCCATATCTTAGAAGACTTAGTGGCAACAACCAAAATACCACTACACCTTTGATTAC